TAGCACTTTTTCTGAAAGGAAATCTGATTGGGGTGGTACTTTAGGGAAGCTATTTCTTAATTTTCCCAGGAATTTAGCAGGGCAGGCTCACATATACAAGTAAATAATAAATTATACAACTTAAAGTAAGCCAAAAAGACTCGAGTTATATTATAGTTGACACCTAACACATTTAGTATGTAATTTAGTAATTTAACCATTTTGCAGCTGTGCCGTTGTAGCATTTAGACATTTTCAACATTTAATTGACTTGTATTGAAAACGATATGAAATATTGACTCATATCCCATATCCTTGTTCTCAAATACGTTCAATTTTTGCACAGATTTTGATTATGAATTAAACAGCAAATTAAATTTCGGCAAAATCGAAAATTCAAGTTTCACTATTTGTGTAAGTAATATCGATTTTTACACAAAATATCGTGTACATTTAATAATTTTATTAAGGCCCCTAGGTAGGGTTAGGATATTAGGATAATACAATGTTTAATATGATATTATGACATAATATTTTCTAAGTTCTTGATTTATAGTAATTTATGTTTTATACAATTTAACTGAAATTTTAAAAAAAATGCATTTAAATCGAGTCGTTTTAGCTAATCTTTTTATCTTAGAATCTGTATCTATTACTTCAGTACCGATTCATAGTCATTGAACTATTTTTTAAAGTTGATCCACAACCCGAAGATAATAGAATAATACTTATAATATTATTTTTTTTAAATTTTTTCATTATACATATATGTTATCCTTTGTACTCGTAAATCTTAGTGACGGACATATTATTTTGTTTTTATCTTAAAAACCGATATATTAGAAGAATCAAATATCGTATGTATTTTAATCAGTTTAATTTTTCTGTTTTATCTCTATATTGTTATACAATGGGCACCATTAAGTATAAAATATAGGAGACATATAATGGTCGGACTGGTAAGATCGAAGGAATATTAGAGTGAAACGATTATGACGCGAAATTTCTTATTTATAATTTTTTTTTTTTATCAGTTTTAAAACTTGACAGTATACAGAAACATTTGTGATTATTGCGCTTAAATTATCAAATTTACACGAGGAACTTAGAATACAATTATAGTTACTAGCATCATCTTCACTCCCTATAAATCTAATTTTTAAAATTTAATTTTATTAATAATAAATTATTTTACTTGCCTCAAGGCCAGACGCATGTACAAAGATGAACTATGATGCAAGACGCATTGAAAAAATTAGGTTCAATTTTATATACTTACCTAATATTATTACAAATGTCATTTAACTACTTTAATAATAGGTAAGTAATTTATTGCATAGTTAGTGAATTATTAGGTAGGTACCGATTTACAGTGATTTATCGTACATTACTTTGTTACACATTTTTATTTTTTTTTTTATTTTTACTTTCCCAAATATTTTTCACTACTAATATTTCAGTTGTTTAAATTTCAACTATGACCCACTTAATGGACTTAATGGACATAGACAATGGCCACTAGGTGGTTACCTACACAAGTACTTATTTTTATGATTATTACTCATAATTTTTTTTTTTTATTGAATTGCACGAACTGTAGTATACAATATAATACAAAACTGAGAAAATTAAGCAAGTTTATGCTAGTTTAAGTAAAGTTCCCCTAAACAAAATAACTAAGCAAAGTTAAAGTTAATTTTAAAACATAAATGAATTTGAGTGACCAAATAAAGTTATTAGTTATTAATATAAGTAACTAATTACAACCTAAAATTTAACTTTATATCTAGTATTACTAGCTTTGCATGTAAATATTAAATATAGGTTAATCTCAATACATACAACTACATACTAAATACTTATATATATGTAACGCATTTGGATTTATCAATATAAAAAAAAAATAAATTTCACAAATGAATATATTATTGAAAATCAATACCTACACATATTTTTATATTATGTGGGTCAGTTAATAAATAGATTATTTACGATTTAACAAAACTATGAAATATTATAATAGTGTATTATTTATCTAATTCGGTGGGAGTTATCGCGACCGTGTCTCACTGCATATCCCGGTTTCGGAAATAATCAATGTCTCATGGTTATAGTGCGGAATCACCTTGTATGCGATTTTTTTTTTTTTTTTATAACCATCGCGAGTAGGTGCACCTATACTGTATGGTATTAGATACGTAATTATCGTAATGTGGAAAATATGGGTCGAAAAACGGCGAAAAAAACAAACAAACACAATATTATATTATTTTTATCAATATCAATGATAAAAACAACAGTTGTTGTTCGGGACACAGCCTAACGTAGCAACGAACGGAAAGGGTGATACCTGTTTTATTTTGTGCGTTTCATACTACTCGATCTATTTTAAAAATACAACGTTGAAAAATACAGAGGTATAGGGGACCGTTTCCTCTTAAGGCCTTCTAAAATAACAGTAAAAATAACTGGTACAGGGTGCGGCCATCAACGCCGAACGTAGTCAGATTTTAACAACGGCCCTATCTCGAAGCTTATTATATAAGGATTTGTCCGTATCACTCATCACTATATCGCTGATAACAGCCGATAAAGATCATTCATTAATCCGATCACGGATAAATTAAGAAACATAATCAAAGAGCCACACCTTCATACAAATTTTATAGATTGCATACCAATGAGATAGAAAATCCATTTATTGGTCAAAGTTGTTTGAAGTAATTTATTGAAAAAAAAAAAGGGTAGGTGCTTCCTTGCCCGTGAAAACAAAATTAACTAATAATAATTTATTTTTTTTTCATCTAAGTCGCCAAAAAGCCCAAAAATCTAATGAATGAACAAAAAAAAAAAAAAATGCAATTTGCATTGCTTATGTTTTTAAAAATTATCTGTAAATCTCTATAAAATAGAGTAGATGGTGTGCACACTATGTATTAGACTTGCACAAAGATAATTTTTGTACTCGCATGTAACATTAAATTTAAGAGTAAAACTGATGTATAATATATGGAACGATCAATTGCATCAGAGAAATATATACAACTTTGTGGATGATATATACAGTGCTGTTCCCAAAGGGTAAAGTACATATACGCCGGATACTCTCGCATTTATTATCATACATTCTGTTGAAAAATCACGGGTATACTGCGTATACTCTCAAATAGTTATGTGCATATATTATTTATTTGCTTGTAAAATACTGTTACTATACAATTGATTATATATGTTTACTTTTTGTCAAAGGCCTAAGCCCGTATAAAATAAAATAAAATAATTTAAAAAAAAAAAAACTATTATTATATTATTATGTCACTTAAACTACAAAAATAATAAATAAAAATAAAAATTGTATTTATTTCAGTAATTTTTTATAATTGAAAATTTCACAATTTTCTTACGATACATAGTATATACTTTATTTTTAAAAATCCCAAGTATGTTTTGTTGGGAGGGATACAAATGAGGGGGTGTTAATGTTCAGGTGGTGCACAGAGTAAGTATACAATGTGCGGCAACGTTTTAAAACGGTGGCAACAAGTTAGCTGAGAAAAAATCCATCTCTATATAATAGTGACGGAGCTCTGTTGCACCGGGGCTGTTTATTAGTTTGTTGTATTTATTTACATCTGGCGGCAGTTTTACTAAGAGAAATATGATGATACCACCATAAAATATAATAATACAAAACTTCTGTGTGACCCGGGTATAAGTTTTTACTTGGGTAAATTTTTATATTAAGACATCATATTTTTATAAATCTAATAGTTTGGGGTCTGAATTGGCCGCATTGTTTTTTTTTATCGGGCCGTTAGACAGTATAGGTAGGTAGTTTGTTATACGATTACCACAGGCATAACTAGAGGACGCTAGAGAGTATTTAGCACCCCCAAAAAAGCCCAATCAGCTTTTTCATAATAACGACTAAATATTCTAACGTCCCCGTGGTCTCGATTTCCGCGCGTCTCTTTTGACTACATCATATCGTTGCTTCGGTCTAACCGCGTGATAGTCTCTCCCTGTTCGAATTGTTCACAATAGTACCGTCTTGACGATACAGGTCGACTTGAACCGTAGTTTTTTAAAATTTGTAGAACAATAATGTATTACATATATATGCACGGGGTTTTTTTTAATTGTAAGCTGAATAGAATAAATTTAAATATTAAAAGACAACTGGGTGATATAATATATAAAAAATTAATGGTTGTTTTTTTTTTTTTTTTGTTACTCATTAGGTATTATTATTATTACGTAGTTTGGCGGTTTGCACCCCCAGTGAAAAAGTTCCGCGCACACCCAATATGATCTATACATTACCTAAGGTGACCATGTATTTATTTTTTTTTCCAATAATCATAAACAAAGTTATATACCTATTGTAATATTTTTACGGAACAAAAAATGAAATTAATCAACCACGCTCATTATTCATTAATAAGTAGTTCATTTTTGTAATGGACATGTTTATTTTTTTTCCATTTAGTAATTATAAAGAAAATTCTATACTATAGCGCATTTGCCGTCGGAACATATTTTCTTCAATAAGTCCAACAACTGGCGACGACGTTTAAGGAGTTACACCACTACAAACCCGACCTTCCGTCGTGTACACAATTGGTTTTCGTTATTTATTTGTTCGCCTTCCGAAAACGGGACATTTTTTTTACCGGAGATTGCCCAGGGGACCACGGGACCCATGTACGGAGAACGGGACTGTCCCGTTCAAAACGGGACGTGCGGTCGCCTTGATAATACCCCTGGAGATAATTTTTATTATCAATTCGGTATCGAAACCGTGTTTTGTTATTTCGCACTCGTATATCCTTATGCGCGTGTACGCGTTTCACACGCGCGACGCGCGTACTACACTATGGTAATAATCGTCCGCGATCACAAGTGCCGGGTAATATCGGCGGCGGCGGCGACGGCGGCGGGGGCTCGCGGAACGAGCGATCCCAAGGCCTGCGGCACGGCTAGCCGCGTCCGCCGCCGCGGCGGCTGTACGACCAAACGGTTGTTATACGGTAGGCAGGCCGGGTTCGGGTGGCGTGCAGGCGGTGTTTTTCTACGCGTTTATAGACGGTACGCGCCCGCTTATAAAACGCAGACCGTGTCGAAGCGGACGGCAGGAACGAACAGCGCCGGTGCCGACACGTTTTTCGGTCAGTGTGAAAATCTCCGTGATTCACCGCGTATTGCTGTAGTGGCGGACGTATTATTGAAAATCGCGCGCAATGGACCGAGTTTAGTGCGCGTCGAATTTTTTTTTTTTTTCGCCCAAACAGCCGCCGCCGCAGTATCGCAGCGTCGCAGACCGTCGTGGAAAATCAGAAATTGGAAGAAGAGAGAGAGAAAAAAAAAGGGAAAACAAACGCCCGCCGACTGTCTATTGTAGTATATACCCACCGTCGTCGTATATAGATAATAGAAAAGTCGCGTCTTCTCTTCCGCGTGCCGTTTCCGAGCGCCGTCGTCCCGCGCAACAACAACGATACATTATAATACACGAGTATGTCTGTCCGCGGGTGGTTACGAGTGGCGTTCGCGTTCGCCATTCTGGCCGTCGTCTACGGGGCGCCCATCTGGGAGGAACTTTTCGGGCTGCCGCCGCCGGAGCCCCGGCAATACCGCAACCAGCAGCGACCGCAGCAGCAGTCCACGTCGAACCGCGCGCCCCGGGCGGGCGGCAAGGAGAAGTACAAAGCCACGTGCTGGGTCATCAACGCGGACAACTACGCGTTTCCCGGACAGGTGCCGTATCCCTCGGCCCCGTTGTGCCCCTACTGACCCCCTTGCTCGTAAGCGTGTAATTTTTTTCGAATAGTATACCCGCCTATAATTGTTGCCCGCCTACACCGAAAACCCGTTGGCGTACGACATCTCAATACGCCGCAGTGTGCGGCGGTGGATTCGCGAGAGTTTACCGTTCCCCAAAGACAATATTATACGCGTAGGCCGCGGATTTCGCGACGCGACGCGCGTAATTCAACGTCGCTACCGTATTATACCGAGCAATAATAATTTGAAAAAAAATTTAAAAAAAAAAATGTAATAATAATATTTACGTGAATTCTATATATTTAGTACGCGACGGTATACGCGATACATAGATTAGTTATATTATGTATTATTATTATTATTATCATCATTATTATCATTATCGTTATTATTATTATTATTATTATATATTATGTATTATTGTGTATTCGAACGTGTGGCCCGCTAGTCGTTAACGCGCTCCGCGTCCATTACATTATATTATTACCACCATCATGATTATTGTTATTATTATTTTGTGCGTGTTTTTCGACGTGTAAAATAAACGAACCGTTTCTACACGGCATACCCGGTGTACGACATTATCTCATTTTGTGCGGCCGTCCGCTGCACGTTCGCACGGTTTGCCGGCGTCGAAACCGACTCCGCGCGGGTCAAACGGCGCGGCGGCTGTGCGCCACACAACACAAGCGTGTAACGCCGCGGCCCCTCGTTCCGCGGTACACGCTCGGTTGTAAGGCGCCGCTCGTTTCGATCGCGTTCGCGCGCTCCGGGGGTCGGGGAAAAGGCCGAATCGCGTCCGTTTTGCGTGAGAAAAGACGTCGAAACGAAAATCTTCGGGTAGAAAAAAAAACAAACCGACTCGGTTTAAGGGTTTCCATTTACCGTAACGTTTACGGTTTTGACCGTTAGCGTATACTTAGGAATTAGTTTGGGTTTGTTTTCCCCCCCCCCCCCCCCATATCGTCGGCCCAATTCCCCGCAGCCGTCCTCCGATCTATTCAAAACGACAGCGGAAAATCGAACGACGTATTTGTCGCGAAATTATCCTTACTCCGAAAACGACAACATTTTATCTCGTATATTTCCCGTGGATAAGGGGATAACCCTTCAACGCATTTGATAACAATCCTTTTTTTTTCTCAGTCGGTATGCTTTTGACCGACGCGATATTATTCATTTTAATCGGACGTAATATCGTAAACACAAAATGTAGCCATTTATTTTATTCCTAGAACAGTCGGGCAACTGTCCGGTCCACTCCTGGGCCTCTGGCTTTACGTGACGGACAACAATACGTATTGCGAAAAATGTGTTCACGTTCAACGATCTAAAACATCCATTTAAAATCATTTTTAGAGTTAAAACCATTATGGTACTTTTTCTTGTGTACTCGGGACTACCGGCTGCGTTTCTCCGGCTGCTTATCGCAAATTCCCGATTTAATCGAAAACTGAAAGTTGATTATGAAAGTGCGAATTGAGGTCGCCAAAGTCCCGGTTTCGCATATAGGTTGCTTTGTGCACATAGGATACACTTGGGGTACTAACTTTCTTACACCGGTATGAACGTCACTGCGGGTCGAGCTGGCGAGCGGAGCCGTCGCATGTGCAGCGGACGGTCATCACGCTCGTACAACATTAAAACTTAGTTCGACTGGTAAGTTTTGAATTTATCGATGGATTAAGCATTGAAAACCGCACATTTTGACAACTCGATTTTTTTGAAAATATTAAATTATAAACATTCTTTGTTTTTAAGGAACGTTATTTTTCACGGTATATGTACTAAAACTTTAAAAGTAAGTATGATAGGCATAATCGTATCGTATTAACTTTTAATCCATTTGGATTTTTAATTAAATCGAGAGCTCGCGATAAACGTACAATCGGAGAAATGTAGTTCTGATAACAGGGAAGTATACTTAAAACATGTTCTAGAGTTGACACTGCTGATGAATACCTACGACTTTGTTGTAGGTGGGAAGTTGGGAAGTAGGTAACACGACCTATGCAGCAATGTTATAGGTACGCCTACATTAAGTTATTTAATTTATATCGTCAAAATTTGATCTTAAAACTCGTATAAAAAAAAAAACTACTTTGCACTAAACTTTTTTTTCGACTACTAAGTTAAACTTACCATAACGCTCGTATTAAATTTGAAAGCATTGCAATTTGCCCAATGTATGCGAATAGTACCCAAACGTAGTACACATAGTACATACATAGTTACCAAATTAAAATTAAAAATAAAATTTTTTCCGGTTTTGCATAGTTATTAAACAAATTACACGGGAAATAAAAAATAATTTAATCGTAACGCCACATTCGTCCGTTTTTATTTTACGTCTTTTCCCGGTTTTTCTCAAATATTATGAAAACTGATGGGAAAAACAAAACAAGACTCACTCATTCATTCATCAACTAAATAAAAAATACAACCAAAAATGTGTTTAGTCATTTTTTGATTGGAACAAGATTTCTTATAAAAAAGTTGTTTACAGGTAGAAAAAAAATTACACGCATTATAGTAAAACCAATATTCGCTCCTCTCAGAATCTAAAACTAATTTCAAAAGCTTGTTTTACGTGATGATCTGATAAACACTACATTTTTGCTGTATACGAATGTCAGATACTCACAAGCATCCATTGTGAGGGGCGAGGGAAGTCGGGTTACAAGTTTCTCCCCCGGCAAATATTATAAGCTATCGAAATAATCTTTTTCTTGAGCTTAATTGATGCACAGCATATATGACTATTGATTCACCCAATTGTAAACGGACCTATCGAAGTCCGTAACAATAATTAGTGTTAAAAAATGCGTAAGTATTTGGAAACTCGGTTTCAGTTTGGCCCCGCCTTGAATGATATCTTGCGGGTGTCCATGTCGACGGCCTCTTAAGAAGGAATAATACCGCCGAATAATAGTGAATATAATAATGGTTCATTGAGGTTATAGCGGTTAAATCAGACAACAATCAACGAGAAATTCAACGAGCGGATTTTCCGCGCCATCTCACCGCGCGGTCTACGGGACTCGGCGGAAAAACACCGACCTTGGTGGCGGCGCCTCGTGCGCGCACGCGTCCTCGCGTAAATACTCAATAATATAGCGTCCCGGGGCGATTACCGATTAAGTGAGTACATCACGATAATAATATTATGTGGATGAAAGAACGAAAAAAATAGCGACCAATGAATAATCGGTCTTCCGTATCGCTGTACGCACGAATATTTCCTGTATACCTATGTAAAACTGCGTGCAGATTTACAGAGTGATTCATTTAACGTAAAACAATAATTATTTCGCTAAGTATTGACTTTGAAAAAAATAAAATAAAAACTGGACATTTATTTGAGATATAAGCAGCAGCTCTATAAAATGTTACATTGCCCATTATTTGTTCACCCTTAATTAATTTTGGTGTTGAAATTTTCGTTTCCCGCCAAACCGTCGGCACGGTACTCCGCTTTTAAGTTTGGGAAGGGGGAGAATAGTGGAGCACCATTTGTGTGGTGGTGAGGCGCGCAGCGTCTTAATATTGGCAACAAGACTAGGTAATAACAATTTTTTTTTACATTTTGAATGTTTTTTTTTCCCAGTCTGAAAAAACTTTTCTACCAGAAACATTATACCAATAAAAAATGATAAAGGCTTTTCTTTACATTTTGGATCTAATTTGAGCACCAGGGGAGTCTTTTTTCTTGATTTACCGAGCGGTTTTCATAATAATTAGGAAAACTGGAAAAACGTATAAGAAAGACGGACAAGTATTTACGGCGGCGTTAATATTTCGTTACCATTTTAAATGTTTTCAATTTTTGTTTTTTATCAGAAATTTTACTCTGTTCAAAGATTAGCATATTTTATTTTAAGTCTAATTACTATAGGGCAATAGACTATGAATATTGTCTAAATTACACTTGAAGTGTATTCTACACTTCCAAAACTTCTCACGCGCACAATAGTGGCGTGTCCGTAAATATTATTAATTATTATATTTTATTTGTATCGAGTCACGCAGCGAGAACTTTATAAATGTAGAAAACAATTCATTGCAGTGCACAATGAATCCGATAAACAATTGTTTTTAACGGTACCTGTAGTCTATAATATCTATACTGAAGATGTATGTAATATACCCATCTAGCACAAATTTAAATATTCATCTGCATTCGTAATATTGCCGCTTGGCGTTTAATGAATCACATAAACATATTTATATTTGCTAAACATTTGGACGCGAAGTTCGTTATAATACCGGGTGATTCTTTTATCGATAAACACTCATTATTTCGAAAAGTATAGACTATTTTTTTTTTTTTTTCATCTTTATATTTGAGAGTGAAACGTCTACCTACTTTTGATTTTCAAATAGCAACCAGTATTGAAAATGCCTTAAACAGATGCGAGTATTGGTTAAAACAATTGTTGGTATTGGCATATTTGATTTCCGCCAACCCGTTGACGAAATATTCCACTTAAGTTTTGATTAGAGGAGAGTAGTGGAGTATCATTTGTGTGGCGGCATGGCACGCGGCGTTTCAATACCTAATGCACCACTACTCTCCTGCAACCGGTACTTTGAAAGTAGAATATCTCGTCAACGGGTTGACGGAACATGGAAATCAAAAATACCAACACCAAAATTTGTTTTAACTAATACTCGCATCTATCTAAGACATTTTCAAGACATTGATTGTCATTTGAAAATCAAAAGTAGATAGTCGTTTTACCTCCAAAAATTAAAGATGACAAAAGAAAATGACAATTGAACATTTTAGAACTATTGTTTCTTAAGGTTTCAAAAATAGTTAATATTTTTCAAAATAATGAGTGTTCAACGATAAAAGGATCATCCAGCATACAAGAACTGACAGTGGTACAGCCAGAACAGGATTGTAACCTTACCTTGAAATTTGATTTTTTTTTTTTTTCACAAGTTCCACGTAGTACGTATATAGTTGTATATTGTGTATTGCAATTATATAAATTTCCTTGTAACTTTGAATTCGTGTATGAATATGTGTATTTATTGTAATTTATTTGCACTATTCCAAAAATCTATCTAAAAATTTGTTTGGAGTTCATCGAATATGCAATTCTGCGGTTTAAAAATAAATTTTGAAATGTTCAAGTAGGTATCGTAGGTATGCGGCCAACAAATTAAAATAATAAATAATGCTCGTTTAAAGTTCAATAACTGTTTAATGAACTGTAGAAGTTCTACCGTGTCTATCTATAGGTACATCTACCATATTATATAAATTACTGTTTTTCAAAATATTATAATATATACTAATATCATTACGTGTATTAAAACAACACATTTTCCCGATAAATCGTCTAATAAAGTTGTTTACTGATACACCAAACCGTATAAATACAGTTTAGAATTCACAGGAACAAAAACCCAAAGTAACGAACTAAATACGTATGGGTAATATTACGTCATAATTCCTTTCTTCACCGACATCACCAACAGTGCAGTCGTGTTTAGGAATTTCCAATGTGAATTGAGAGGGTTTAGAAGGTTTGGATTGAAAAATGTTAATTTTTATCCAATAAATCAATCTTTTCCTTGCAGCTTGGTTAAAATATATACAATTTATAGTTACAATTAAATTACTAAAATATGTGCATGGTTGTATTTTTAAGATAATTGGGAGTGATATATAACCCTTAACCTCCTCTTCCCTGCGCACGCCACTGATATCAAGCATCTTTACAGGTAAAGCCGATTCTCCTCCTACTTTACTATTCTAAATGGCCTACTTACAAAGTCCCTTCTCGTCTCATCCGTTCACGTGTCCTTCTCCATATATATTACTTTATTTTAGGTATATTTCCTATAACAATTCCCCTTTTATCCGGCTAATACACATAGCACAATTTTAACCACAACTCTTTGATTTCTATCATCCTTCCGAAACTTTTGTATTCAATTTCCTAACATAATAGTTAGGTTTAATAGTTTCTGTATAAACTACGCCTATAAATACAACTGCAAACAAATTGCAATCAAGGCTTAAGTTGAAATTTCGAAGGGGAGAAAGGGTCTTAAATTAAATCACATCTTATTTTTGTTACCTACTACCTATACGGCCTGCAATCTGCAACAATAAAGTTATATTTAAACTTTTGAAAAATTTGAATGGGCTCGTTGAACTTACAACACCCATGACTATAATTTGCTGTTCATTCGTTTATGTTCACTTGTCTAAGAAAATTATAAACATTTTAAAAATATTAGGCATAATAATATGATACATGGGCAGTTAAACAATTTGGAATAACAGACTATTTTATTAAGTTTATTTTTCAGATAAATTTTCGGTATGACCAACAGATTTCTTGAAAGTTTGTGTTGTAAAGAACATCCATACTTAGGTAGGTACTTTTAATAAATTTAACTTCTTTATTTAGAGCACCAATTTTTAAATCCAAACTTTCACATAACAATAAGACAGATACGGGACTTCAAAAAAAAAAAATCTGGCTTTTAATTCCGATTGTCTGATGTTCGAAAAATTTTAATACGAATTTTGACGGTTTTATGAGAATTTAAAATGTGTACTAGGATATCAGACTAAGCCACGTTCGTGAAATTGTGGATATGTGGCCGTTGGGTTGTTGAAGACCGTTACGTGTAGGTTAGGGGCGGGTTCAGGACAGCATAACAAAGAAAAAAAGGGCCATTTAGAAAATTCATATGAGATTTACATTTATGGTTAGCTCCATGATGAATCAAGCTAATAGTACATTGGAGAGAGAATGATGGGGGGAGCGATCTGCCACTGGTTCAGGCTCGATGCCCGTCCACTACTCGTTCGCATTGTGGCTTCTAATCTCCTGGTATGAAATTGCATTTTTCTGGTCGTAAATCCGTCAAGTCTGGTCAAAAATTATATTATTTCATGATGATTTTAAGGATATGCAATTTTTTCCCAAAAAAATGGGCAGTAAACGAGATGCACGCCAAACGTGTCACCAATCGTGCAGGGCAACGGGCGAAGGTCGTCGGTGCCATGAACCATTTTGGTTTTCAACGTAGGAACTTATTGGCTATTTTTTTATATTATTATTGACCAAGAAAATAACAATAATGGTTCGGGTAAAAACGTTTCATGCATGATTTTTGACACATGATTTACGATGACCAGAAAAAAAAATGTGTATCTAATTTTATGTAGTTATTATAATAATATAATATACATAGGTTAACCTACAGATTCAACCTCAATGTACACTTAGGTACATATACTTACGTACCAAAGAATATATTTAACGATTTGCTCAGCTGATAGATGTAACGACCATAAATAATATTCAAATTAAAAAATTCGAATAATAGGTAATAAAAAAAAAAAACGAACGAGCGAATATTGTTTAAAAATATTATATTACTATTTATTAATAAGGACAGAGATAATTTATTGGTAACCATATCTATAGACGAGTGAATCGTAAGCGTTCAATAATTCGTCATGGACTGCGATCAATTTAATAAAATTAATAACTACCTACCTAATTGTAAATTTCTATACTTCTGAATAATATTCAACAAAACCATTTTTTTTTCTTTTTCGATTGACCAACAACAGTGCTGGATGGGTATTAACATTGCTACACCACTGTTGCCATCGTTTATAATAGATAGTATAATAAATGGAAAATAAAGGGTGTGCAGGATCTCCATGTTATACTCCTTTACATTTAATTTTTTGAGGTATGCTGCTTTGGTCGGATGATCTTCTTGACCCGGATCGCTGATTCCATCGTCCAGAAGCCAGTTGAACTAATTCCCGACTAGGTTCTGAGGCTTCCAGTCCTAGGCTGTCTGGTAACGCGGCGCCCACCGCGCAGAAGGCTTGGTCATTAAGCTGCGCTTCTGCTTTCCTCTAGTCCTTCTCCTTGCGACGAAAAATGTCCCCCGCCATAAGGATGTGCTATCTAACCTGACTTGTACATAGAGGCCTCACAACGGGTTTACAAAACTTTCCTTTTATCCTTCCAGGCATAGTTTTGACTTTACAACACTACTATTGATTTACTTCCACTTTATGCACTTATTAGTTATTATACTTGATGTTCTGAGATTATAGTTCGCTCTTCGAGACTCACTCTATTTTTTCTTACTTAACTTCCAAATCAGAACTCAAATATAGGTATATAAATTATTTTTTAAAACTTTTAAAAAAAATGAGCCATTTGTTTACTAAGATTGAAAAGTTTTAGAATAAATGTGTAGTTAACTAAAAAGGAAAACAAACACAATTCAACATTTATATTTATTACAGCGAATACACAATGGTAGTCAATAATAATTTTTTAATTTTTATTTTCATTAATAGAATTTTCAGAGAATTCAATTCATAAAATGTATAAAAAAGCTATTAAATAAAATAGTAAATATATTTTTTGATTTAACTTAACTTAGTGTTAGAATACATGTAATAAATAATTTTACTTTGAAATAAGCAGTATGGTTCATCGTATAAACATAATAATTGTATTAATAAATTAGAATTAACTTTACATTTTGTTTTCATACATTATATTATTTATAAATAGACATTAATACATGATATACACATATTATACATATTTTCCTATAATAAAAACAATTATTTTAGTTAAATGTTGGTCAATTTTAAAAAAATGTTACTATAGAACTGAACATTTGTAATTTTAATGATACAAAATAAAAAAAATAATAATAATAATATTGAGTTGTAAACAATTGAAAGCACAGTCTTTTTTTTTTAAATTTAAAAAACCATTTAATCTACTGCAAGAATATACAGAAGAATACTATCAAAAATAAAGTGAACTATTGGCAGAAGTATTTCAAATAATAAGTAAATATTACTGAATATAGCAATAACTCGATTTTTAACTTGTGAATTTATTTTCCAGAACCAAAAGGGAAAGACCATCATTAACAACTTCAAGATGAAAACTGAGACTAATGGTCCAATTAAAACATCCAATAAATTTAATAATTTATTTAAATCAACTGTTTTGATCATATCATCTAAATATTTCAGAATTTAGTACAAATTTGAAGAAAAAATAAATAATATTTTTAAAATAATTGTATATACATATTCGTATCAGTCAGTAGAATATAGTTAGGTTATTTGCATTGAGAAATAAATCTACTTCATTATAAACTATTATTAATACAAATTAAAAATAGATAGACAGGTACATCAAATATTTTGTTCATTTATTATTCTTGAGATCAACTTACACCTAAAATGTCGAATAACAATTAATAGTAATATTTAATGCAAATTGACATACAATATCTGTGTACCTACTTAGTAATTTTATATTTTTTTTAACAATCTGAATTTTACCCAATTATTGTGGAATTATTATTTCATATTCATTTCCAGAAAATAAATATTAATTTATCCCCCTCCTTTACATTATTTATTGAAACAGTATGAACATATTATTTCTCAGTCAAAGTATAAAACTAAATTTATATAATAGGTACTTAATTATAATAACTTGCAAAAACTAAATGGTTACAAATGTACAAAAAGTTATTAATGGAAGCAAATATGATTGAAAAATCTGTTAATCCTTAAAAAAATATATATATATATATATACATACATGTAATCACTAAACAACTAGTTTAAAATAAATGATAATTGCAATTAAAGAAAAATATAAATTATTACTATAAACTCAATATGATTTGTAATATATATATATATATATTTATATACATACATTTATATGCATGTACATGTATTGTAAAGTACTAAAATTTGTTTTTTCGTGGTCTACCTCTTTTGCCTTTAGTTGGCTGTGCACGTTTCGCCAAACACCTTGGACAATACCAAACAGCGCAGTCTGGAGGACACTGGATACCAACACACACCCAATGATACCATACGTCACATCCATCACAACCAATCATTGGACTTCCATCATCTGGTTTAGTGCACATAGGACAGATCCATACTTGATTGCCAGCTGCATCATAGTAGAATGCTGGAGGAGAAGTTTCAACAGGAGCTGGAGCTGGAGTTGGCTGTACAGTTTTCGTAACAATTTTAGTTTTAATTTTATGAATAGGAACTCTTGGAGGTGATTTAATGCTATGTAATATTTCAATTGGGATGTCTGGTTTTGATTCAATTTCCACATCAATTTCAATAGGTTCAGGTTTTGGAATTATGGATAAATTTACTTCTGGTGGCTTTTCAATAGGCATTACTTTTGTAATGGTTTCCTCTCGATTCCCAAATCTGAATTTGATTTTTGGTACTTTATTAGTAGATTTAAGTTTATCTTTTTTCTTTTCTTTTTCTTTCATCTTCTCTTTTTCCTTTAGTTTATTTATTTGCTTTAATTTATCTTTTTGCTTTTTCTTTTCCTTTTTTTCTTTCTTTTTGTCCTTTTTCTTCTTTTTTTGTTCTTTGCGGCTTATATCTTCATTTTCAATTTGTATTTTTGGATTAGTTGGTTTTTCTATTTTCTCTGATGGAATAATTGACTGAGAAAATGTAGATGGTATTAATTCAGGAGCTTGAGGTAAAGGACCAAAAAATGAAAATTTGGGTAGGATTTCTTCCATTTTTGTTTTATTAGCGTGGAGTGAAGAAACACCTTTTTTTGGGATCTTTTCAGTAACTTTTTCAGGTACAGTTACAACATCAATTTCATCTATAACAGGGTCCAATACAGGAAGTTCTTTTGAAACAAATATTTTTTCTTCTTTGATTTTCGGTATTTTTTTTAAAACTTTTGCCTTTTTTTCTTTAGACTGTAAGAGTAAATTATGTTTTTTTGAACCTTTAAGTTTTTTTTTTACTTCAGATTTCAACTTTTTTGATTTATCTTTCTTTAAGCTTATCGTAATTTTTTGAGAAGATTCGTCTTTGTTACAAGTTGTAATTTCAGTTAGGTTAGGTGATTTAAGTGGTTCGATTTTTATTTCGGGGAATGGCAATAATTTAGAGTCTGCCAATCTACCTTCTCTAGATGGAGATAAAAAACCACTAGATGTCATCACTACACTAGAAATTTCTCTCAAACGTTTATGTAATATAACTTCTTCTGATTCTTGTTTAATGTGCACAATTTCATTTTTAATTTTCTCTGTATCTGTGGTTTTTTCCTCTTCAATGGGTTCAGTCATTAAACTTGGAAGATGATCATGAACGTGAATAGGTCTGGTTAAAATTTCCCTACTTCCTGGTTTAATAACATTCAAAACAATACTTCCCGGCATATTGTTTAATGGAGGTACACTATGTGGAAATTTGACAGGCCCTGTGTGTTTCATATATCTACGTAATTCAGTGAATGATATAGATTTATGACGAAAGGCCTTTTCCAAATCTTCAATATCTGGTACGTCACTGTATGCGTGTTCTGCATATTTTTTCGATGTAACTGACAAGTCACTAATATAGTGGTGCAGAATGTCAGTCAGAATGTTCATAGAAGAGTCTGTTATTGAGTGCCAACCAATATTGTTACATATTTGGGCAACAGATATTGTTAACGTTTGCCTGATGTAGGCGTCCATTATGATTTTTGTATAATTAAAGATATTATGTAAGAAACGAGTCTACTTACGTGTAAATTGAATTTATTTTTCAAACATTATGTGGCGGTTAATGACTTAATGCATGGAAATTTAAATTTTAGTTAACAATGTTTACTTATTAAAATATAAACAATAAATTGTTGTTATTATGCATTAACGTGATTTTTATCATTTTAAAAACAACTTTAGCAGTTTAGCGTCCTCTTGGGTTACCATGGTCAGGATACCACGGTTAATGTTTTCTAATAATTATTATCATATTTTAATACTATCACCATAGATAATATGACTATCACAAATTGAAAATGATAAGATATAAGATTAGAATTGTTTTATTAAATTTTTTTAAAAATTAACATTTTAAATTATTAGCAAAAATATTTATAATTCATATTATTTTTAAGTTATTTTTGCATAAAAATGACTTCAAGAAGTTTATTTTCCTCATTTTACCGGCTTAAAAATGGTTATAAACATAGTAAAAGAATACATGGCATCAATTTTTCTAGTGTTTCTAACGAGTCACATGATCGTAAGTTGTTCAAATGTTATTTTCAAACTGTTTTCATTAGGTATATGCAGTCAAACAATTAATTCTATATTTTCAATACTTTGAATAAATATATCAGTATTAAAATGATAATTGTACCTCTTTATTATTTGATAATTTGTCACAATATTCTCAGAACATAATTAAAGAACTCATTAAGTATGATATTATAATATATTTCCATTTCCTCTCAAGTATATTTTAATAAATTTCAAAAATAAAAATTATAAATATCATTTAAAACTATTTAAGCTACATATTTCAATCATATTGGTAAAAATTATATATTTGTATTCTCTCTGATACATTGACTTACAATTTAGTTATTTATATTCCAGGAGAAGTTACTAAAGAACTAAGCAATATGTTTTTTGCTGACTCTGTACAAGAATTATTGATTAAGCTCACTCATGTTGATGTACAAAAAGCGTTTAGGAAACGTTTTATCGGAGAGGATCCTGACATTCCGATTTATAAATTTATGACCACCGCTGAAGTAGAAAAAGTTAGTTAATTTTTCATTCTTATTACATTAAGTAATTTTACTTGTACATATTTATGTAACATTATTTTCATATAGTTGCAAGCTGAAGTAAAAGTAAAAGCTAATAAAAAAGTTCAGATGCCACCAATAGTACCATTACAAACCGATTTGGGACAAGTGATAAATGTTGACAAAGATATAATTGGTTTTGACAACAGTAAATTTGTTTTTACAGATATTACATTTGGCATATCTGATAAAGTAATTTATTATTTTTATAATATTATTTATATAAATATGTTTGTATTATCTATTTATATAATTAATAGAGCCGAATAGTTGTGGTACGTGAATCTGATGGAACATTGAGAAAAGCTAATGCTGATGAACGTCATACCGTCAATCAAATATATTTCCCTCAGTTGGGAAGAGAATTAAAACATCCAGTAATGTTTCAAGATGAACATTTGAAGGTAGTAAAATGTAAATAAAGTAAAATATATAAATTCTTATACTGTTTTTTATTAAAACAGCCTTTACTTGAAAATGGTGATTATGAGTTCATATTAGATCGTGCGTGTTGTCAATTTGAACCGAATGATCAAAATTATCACCGTGTTGTATTTACTACCTATAAACATGTAAACAAAACTAAAAAATACCAGGTTTTAGAGTCAACAAGACATTTGGGTCCATTACTGTTTTATTTGGCTTTCAACAAAATGCCCGATAACTTTTTAATGTATTGTCTACAAACTGAAAGGTAAGTTTATCCATTATTTTGATTTTAAACAATTAAGATAAAATGACATTACATGTTAGGTTTCAAGATGCTATATTGTTCATTAACTTATACACTAAAATAAATCAAGGTTTGGAAATTGAATTGGGAGATTTAAAAGACCAATTTAAAGTTATAGAGGTAATTTTGTTGTTAAAATTTGTAATTTGTTTTGTTTGATGTTATTAAATATATAAATACCTATATGTTTTAGGATTTTATAAATACTGAATGTACTGAAAAAGGAAACCTCGAAGAAGCCTTAAAATATTATATTAATATGAATAGTGTAGAAGTATCTAAATCAAGTTAAATTGTATAATTTATGTTGTATAAAAATATTACAATTGAAATGGACAAAAAGTGCACTCTGAGTCCTTGAATTTAATACTCAATAATATTGTAATGTATATAAAATTATTACCTAGTTTTCTTACAATAAAAATAAAAATTAAAAAAAAATAATCACAGTAGTTAATATTAATATTTTAAATGATTATCCATCCTTTGCACATCTAAATCCTAAGTTTGATGCAGAACTGTCTGGTGTGTTTTGACTTCGTGCTACACACCGATATCGGTAACAATAGTTTTTGTGACATAAGTATGATCCTCCTTTTTTAACTTTTTCTTTTCCGTCAGAAGGACCACTCTAAACAATAATATTTGATAAATTATTTTATTTTATTTTTCAATGTGTTAAAATTACACTAAAAAAAACTCACAGGATTTACAATAAAACTTCGATCATGATGTATATTCCAAAAATCATTTGTCCATTCCCAAACATTTCCTACCATATTATAGAGCCCATAACCATTTTCTGGAAATGTATTTACAGGAGCTGTTGTAGCCCATCCATCTTCTGCTGTATTATTAAATGGAAATTCACCTTGCCAAATATTTGTTCTAGAATAATTAAATAATTTTAATTTATTAATTTGCAATTATAATTTCAGGGATTATTTAAGAGTTTTATCACAAATCAATTATTTTCCCATCTAAACAATGAAGTATTTATACAGCAGCAAATGTATATATTACACGACACAGTATTCTTATTTTAAAAATTGAACTAAATTGATTTAAAGACAAACACATTTTTTGTGAAATTTTAATTAACTGGTTTGATATTTCAGTATTAAACTTTGAGTATAAAATGACAGTTGAATATTTGAAGATTTTTGTATTTCACATTAAAATAAAAGTATTGGAAAATTGAACATTTTCTTTATAATCTTTTAATATTAGGTAAAAATATTTCTTTATCTTGATTTTATCAAGCTTCAATTAAGTGCCAAGATTTCTAGGGTTGTTTTAAGTATTCTTCACATTTTAATTTTAATATGGAACATTTTGTTACGACTGTAAGTTTAAGCTTGTCGGAATGTATGCTATTATTGAATTTTTCGATTAATTAGGTGTTCTCATGTCTATAATATTCTAAAAATCTATGCTGGGAAGGCACATCAAAATTCAAAATAGACTATTGTACAATTTACAACTTTTAGATGAACCTCAAACAACAATTGATATTAAAAAAATAAATCCCAGGTTCACATACATGACAATAGAAAAAACCATAAGATCACTTGTAACATTTGTTTATGTAATATATAACTATTTAAGTCCCGTGTATTTTAAATAGAAAAAACCAACTGGTTTGAGATAAAGTACTCTTAGTAAAATGTTATTTGCTGTATTTACTTAAATAATATTAAATGACCTGTGCTTATTATTTGGAAGAAGTTTATTTCCCCAAGGATAGAGCCTGTCTTTAAGATTACCCTTACAAGCTACTTCCCATTCAGCTTCGGATGGTAATCTTTTTCCAGCCCAAGTACAAAATGCTTTCGCATCATTCCAGGTAACGTGCACAACAGGATGTAATCCTCTATCTAAAAAAAAAGTATGTATCAAAGATTTTTAATGAAATAAGTAAACATAATATTACCACGTACCTACCATTGATATTAGAATCTTTTCCTTCGGGATGTTTCCAGTTGGCACCTTTAACTGGTACCCACCAAGGAGCGTCTTTAACGACTTGTGTTATAGATTTTAATGTTTTTTTACTCAGAAATAATTGGAATACAAAAGAATCACCAAATATTTCTGCTTCAGTTCTGTATTCTGTCTTCTCAACAAAATTTTTAAATTCTAAATTGCTAACTTCATATTTATCAATAAAATAATCATCCAAGAAGATATTACGGGAAGGGTGTTCACCATCAGCAATAATTTCTGGTTTATCGGTACCAATAGTAAAATTTTGTCCTTTGATGAAAATCATTGATTCTAGGGTTTCTGGTGGATCTCCTGCTGAAGCCTCACAAACATCATTTTCATTCAAATCCATTTTAACACGATTCGTGTTGCAGCCACAATCTGCATTCGACGAGGTAACAATACCCATAATAATAAAATAACATAATTTCATCTCGAAATTAATAATAACATGTAGATTAGATTTAGTTAATTTGTATACCCAACTAAACTTTATACAATGCAATCAAAATATACAAGTAAAACTATTTTTTGATCAAACCATATTCAAATGTTTTACGGACGTGAACAGTGAAGTTAGGGAACTATACCAGTTTTGATAAGAAATGAGTGACATGATATTCGAATTGCCTATACCTCAGATATTATAAGGAGTAATACTGTGAAAACCGAAAGCCACCAACAGCCGTCATTATAACGCTAGATGGTAGTAAAGTACCTGTCTCATCATAAGTCATGACGTTAATTCCGATCCAAACTGTTTTATAAAGAAAAGATGATTGTATAGCTATTAGCTAAACACAGATATGTAAAAATTCAAATAATGGATTATGAATACGTTGTTGGTCAAACATAAAGGCAATTGGTAAAGCAATAAAAATCAATATGACAATGGTATTTACGATGATCCCGCGCTGTATGCCAAAACAATCTACAAGATCCCCTCTTCTTTATAAGCAATATCTAAAGGAACGCATTTTTCCTAACTCATCATTTGAAATTCACGAAATAGATTTTGAGTCCTTACATGGTAATATAATTTTTTTTTATGGTAATATAGTATTTTAGCGCTTTTCATTAAAATTTGCAATACGTTTCTATAACGGTTATATTTTAACTTAAATTCTCTATCGAATAGTCTTGAACGTAGTCTATTCGATATGTCGTTTATTTTCATAATAGATACAATTAAACTTTGTCTTCATCCTAAAACCCTTAATATTATTATTAGTTGATAAATACAAAAGTTGCTGTATATTTTTTTTTTTTTTTTTGAGAAAGTTTCGCGAGTTTTATTAACATCCATATTTCGTACTCGATACAAAATCTCAATTTCCAGTTTTCTTTCATATTTAAATGGTCGATGTTAATTATATTGCTAATTTAGGTTTTATCTAATTCTATATTGATATTTAAATTATTGTTTTCTCCAATAAAAAGCACTGCGAGAAAACGATTAGTTATATCCAGCTTAATAATATAATATATTGCAATATGCATTGTCAGTATCAATAATTTTCGTAAATATAAAATGATCTATGCATGTTTCAGTATTGTTCATTGTCATAATTATTGAGATATTCTGATGTAGAAAGAGAATAAATTATTAAATCAATATTGATGTATCCGCAAAAAAAATTATTTTATTCGATTTATTAATTTTATGCACAAAAGACTATAATCCATATAAAAACAAAACAAAATATCATTACTTGGTAACCTGAAAACTCCGATATTGACGAAAAGAAAATAAAAAAAAAACAAATCTGTGGTTATTTTTGGTTAACCGAACCGTAGGTCCGAAATACTACAAGGTATAAGGACCGGTGCTGCAACATGCATGCGTGCGTTTTAATATTAACGAGACGTACATGGCAACTCGCGGGCACAACGTTATTTTGGGTGACAATCGCATAACGGACATCGGTGACTTTTGGTCGGAAAAAATATCGCAAGGTTATTTACGTTACGGCTGGTAACGTTGCCTGTAATTACGTATTCGCGGGGTTTTGCGTCGCACGGTTATTCGTAGGGCGACGTATCGACGATGTCTATACGGCATACCGTCAAACGTGCACCTGAACGTTCTGTCGCTGGCGCTGCGCGATGGTCTTTCTCCGAGATTATCAATCTCCCTCCCGTTAATTAGAAATAATCACGTTTGAATGTACGGAACTATCGTCGGTTGTCAACATGTAATTCGGCGGCGCACGTGATATAAAGGCGAACAACAAGTGGGCGTGGCGTGTTCATCGTTATCATAACCGATCTACATGAACCGCCGAGCAGTACTACTCCGTGACTCGGGTCCGCGGTAAGGACACGGACAATGCGTTACGCGTGTACGTCACGGACTGGGATCCGCACGGATATTGTACAGTCTATTCATCTTGTACATCTAGAAATCCGTCGGCAAACAGACCGCGGCTGTAGACACCAGGCTAAAGCCGTGGTACGAACCGGTGCACTGGTACGTTTGGTACCGGTTTACCAACACTTGATACCGATTGTTTTTACACCGGTGTAGACGTCCGACGAATCGGCGTATCCCTCCATTTGCCCAAAAGCAAATACAAATAATACTATCGGTTTAAAATATTAATATCAATTATCTAAATCATCAGTATATTTACGCTTTCCATTTCCCGCTAATGAGTATTTAATAAAAATCAATTTGAATAGGTATTAATTTTTATCAGTTCAATTGTTATCATTATCATTTATTATTCCGCACATTTCGCACTTAATTGCTTGCACAGAAAAATCAAACCGGTGTCTGTCGTTGATTTCAACACCAGTTGCTCCGAAAAATGTCTCAAATCCACACCGGTTTGTACAAACGAATGTCTAGTATATGTATGTATTATCAATGAGTATGGTGGTTATTTGTGCGTTCCCAACTCAATCTGTTAATTCAGCGGATTGCACAAGGGCGCGTTCAGAATCATTTCCCATAGAATAGAACCGTGATATGATCGGGTAACCATATTTTGATAACCACGGATAGTGTAGTTTCTAAACGCACTCCTGTTGTAGTTAACCTCTAAACTAAAATTACAAACCGAACACTATATGTATTTTGGCGGCAAAATAATCTTTGTCACAAAATAATAATGTTTTGTTGTCAGTCGTGTTCATATTTTCCGTATTGGATTTCTTCTTTTTACACAGTAGACAATCGTCGGTCGAAGCGTTTCGTTATAGTTAAAAAACTACACCAGTGATCTAAAATAGTACAATGAATGTATCTATCTAGTTAATAAGCAGTCGTAGTGGAAGTTTTGCCGTTTTGAGTCTTTCCTGTTTCTTATTAAAAATCCGTTCTCAAAACGTAAGTACCTACAATTTTAATTTACTTTTATTTACCAGACGTTGTTCTCACTGCCGTCTATTTGACCGTATTATATTAAATTCACATACAAATTACATTATTTCATATGTTTTCGATAGTTTTGTTGAATTTAAATCACGTTTACTTAATAGACTCTAAGTGTTTGTAATAAAAAATAATAATTATGTAGATAACGCAATAAAATAATAATTTTTAAGGTACCTTTTAATTTTAAAAACAAAATTATTTATCTTCAAATTTTTGTTATAATAATAATGATGGGTAAGGTATTCCTTAAATATTTCAATATACAAACACTAGGTACCTACTAAAATTATATACTTGGCCAATATGACTGCTATAGTAAGTTGTTTGTTTTTTTAGATAACTAAGATAACGTCTTCTCCAACGCTTTCATCTGAACTTGACAATATTTAAATCTTCATATACTCTATTAAACTAATATATAATCTCAGAACTACTTTTCTTATTAATGCCCATATAAAAACCTCTCTCGACACTGTTATAAGCATAGACACCGACTGCATGGGTGCTCGAATGCCGCAGCTCCCATTGAAAAGATTGAGTTTCCCAAACTGTTTTTACAGAATAATATAATTGAGATTCAAGAACATTGTTAATAATGAAATTGTAATGAGTAAAGTTAGACAAAATACATATTCTTTAAATTAATGTGATATTATTTAAGTTAAATAAAAAGTAAATTAATATTTTTAATTCATTTTGTGTTATATTATAGGTAATACTTATTTTATCATATTTTACATATTTGAAACAGTTTAAACTAAGACTCCTAAGTGACAAAAAATCTGAGGGGGAACTGTTATCAATAAAACATTCTGAGTGTTCCCCTGAATTGTTTATTGCAAAAAAAATTCAAGAAGAGACAGTTAAAATTTGGACATAAGTACCCCTTCCTGTGTCTCTCTACCCTTTAATTACATATTTAAATTATTTTGAATGGCAAAAGTTAAGGCTAAAAAGTAGTAAGTTCGGCCCCCCTTGACATTTTCAAAACCTGGCGCCTACGGTTATAAGCCTTCTCTAAATCTGTTTCACACAAAACACCGGTTTCATTTTCAATAATACCCAGTATAAAACCAAACTGGTACTAAGATTTCATAGATATCTATGTAAATTTTAATTATTTCTAATAAAATTTTTAGAAGATCCTACCTACTATATTAATTAACAAAGTTTGTGGAAAATGGAATGTTTTAATCGAATGCAAAATTTTTAACTATGGTGTGACTGACATCAGATTAATTATACTATATGTTTATAATAATGTATGTCCTTTATTTTTGGTTGTTTATTTTATATTTATTACAGTAAAACCTCGATTATCCACCACTCTCTCATCTGTTAACTTCTGTTATGCATCACCCATCATTATATTTATGTATACATAAATAGTAATGTTACCAAAAAAATTAAAAAACTAATCTATGAAAGAAGTATAATTAGTTTAGGTAAATGAACAAAAATTACTTATTTTTCTAAATATACTAATTTGTTTGATATAAAAATTGTTGTATAACAACTATAATTTATAAATATAAAAATATATTTTTTCTTTTATCTGTCTAATTTGATTATCCGTCACCTTGGTCTTGTTGCTGACAGATAATCAAGGTTTTACTGTATTCATATTCCACATTTTTAATTAGGCTTATTTGCCTTATTTTTATTTTTATTTTTCAATAGTTATTCCATAAATATAGTTAAAAGTATGTACCTACTTTCCTAATTATATTAATGTTCAGCGATCTTTACTTAATGATCATATTTAAATTAAGTACATTTTTTTTATTTGTGTCTTAATATTATTTTATAAAGAAGTAGTATTATCCAAAAGTAAAATACATTAATGTACAGTTGACGTAGATTTTCATATTTATATGCAATACTGAAACCAATTGGGCTTTAACTAGACATATAAGAAATTCTGTGAGGCTGCTTAATTCTATTATACATATAATGAGACTTATCTTTTGTTATTCTATTTATTTTTACAGTTTTCAAAATGATGATGGGAGATGAAATTGAACAGAGATTACGGGATATCCAAAAAGAATATTTGAGTTTTTTGGATGATGAAGAAGATCAAAATGTATACCACAAAAAGGTGAAAAATATGATTGACGAAAATAACCAAAGATTATTAATTGACATCAATGATTTGCGTAAAAAGAATCCTAATAGAACTCAAGCATTATTAACGAGTACTTTTGAAGAACAATTTGCTTTGGAGCGTGCTCTTAAAGAATACATCGCAAATATTGATTCTACTTTTGCTAACAACTATGATGAATTTTTTGTTGCATTTGAAGGTAGTTTTGGCAGTCGTCATGTCACACCTAGAACATTAAGCAGTAAGTTTTTAGGTAACCTTGTTTGTTTAGAAGGTGTTGTTACAAAATGTTCTTTGGTTCGTCCAAAAATGGTAAGAAGTGTACATTTTTGTCCGGTTACTAAAAAGACAATAGATAGACGTTATACAGATATGACATCAACATCGGCATTTCCATCTAATTCTACATATCCAACACAAGATGACGAAGGTAATCCTTTGGAAACTGAATATGGTCTTTCTGTATATAAAGATCATCAGTCTCTTACAATTCAAGAAATGCCTGAAAAAGCACCTGCCGGACAGTTACCTCGTTATGTTGATGTTATATGTGACAATGATTTAGTTGATTGTTGTAAGCCAGGGGACCGTGTCCAAATAGTCGGAAGTTATCGTTGTCTTCCTGCTAAACAAGGAAATTATACATCTGGTAATTTCAGAACTATTCTTATCGCAAACAATGTATCACTGTTAAGTAAAAATGTCACATACTCTGTTAGTAGAGAAGATGTTTTGAAATGTAGAAAATTATCAAGAAAGGAAGGGGATGTATTTAATTTACTGGCTCGATCATTGGCACCTTCTATTCATGGTCATATTTACATTAAAAAAGCCATTCTCTGTCTTTTGTTAGGTGGACTCGAAAAAGTATTACCCAATGAAACACGTCTTCGAGGAGATATTAATCTTTTATTAATTGGTGATCCGAGTGTTGCTAAATCACAATTACTAAGATATGTATTGTGTACTGCTCCAAGAGCAGTAGCTACTACTGGTAGAGGGAGTTCAGGAGTAGGTTTAACTGCTGCTGTCACTACAGATCAAGAAACCGGTGATCGATGGTTAGAAGCAGGAGCTATGGTGCTTGCTGATAGAGGTGTTGTATGTATTGATGAATTTGATAAAATGTCAGACATGGATCGAACAGCTATACATGAAGTTATGGAACAAGGCAGAGTTTCTATTTCAAAAGCTGGAATACACGCAAGGCTTAACGCTAGGTGTTCTGTTTTAGCAGCTGCTAACCCTGTTTATGGTAGATATGATCAGTATAAAACTCCAATGGAGAATATAGGTTTGCAAGATTCATTATTGTCTCGGTTCGATTTGTTGTTTGTCATGTTGGATACACCTGATAGTGAAAATGATCGTTTGATATCTGAACACGTTGTACGAATTCATAGGTATAGAGATCCAAAAGAACAAGACGGTGAAGCATTACCAATGGGTTCAGGTGTGGATATATTGAGCACTAGAAATTTGGAAATCGATGAAAATGACCCATCTAAAACACGTATGTTTGAAAAATATGAACCGTTACTTCACGGACCTCGAAATAAATCTGAGCACACATTGAGTAGTCAATTTATGAAAAAATACATACATATTGCTAAGTGTGTTAAACCTGTGTTGACTGAAGAAGCATCAAATGTAATATCTGAGGAATATTCCAGAGTCCGTTCTCAAGAAGCTGTTGAGTCAAACACTGCTAGGACTCAGCCTGTAACTGTGAGAACTTTGGAAACGTTAATTCGTCTTTCTACTGCTCATGCCAAAGCTCGTTTATCCAAAAATGTTGAACAACAAGATGCTCAAGCGGCCATTGAACTTGTTCAGTTTGCTTACTTTAAAAAAGTGTTGGAGAAACCTAAAAGAAAACGTGCACATAATGATGAAGAAACTGAAGATGAACAAGATATCTCACCTAAAAAACCTCCTAAAAGAAAATCAAAAAAAGACGGAGATGACCCATATACATTTGAAGATTCAGAGGTTTTGGATGATACTGAACAAGAAGTTATGGAAGTGGAAACTGATAATTCAAATGTAACAAGTGGTCCACCCCCAGTAGCACAAACATCAATAACATCTGACAGGTTCAAACTATTTAAGTCGACTCTAAGTACGGTTTTTCGAAAACAGAGATTACAGTCATTGGATTTTACTCGAATGCTTACCATGATCAACGAAGATCATGTTACAAATCCTTTCACTGAAAATGAAGCATATGCAGCCATTTACAAGATGATGGACGATAATTCTATTATGTTTTCCGACGGAATTGTATTTTTAATTTAATTTAAGTTAATTTGTTTTAAAAATGAGTATTTAGTATTAAGTTTATATTTATAAGATGGAAAATTTAAAAAGAGAAAAAATAAGTTAACATTTAATTTTTTATATTGAAATTTTTTCAAATTTGTGAAGAAAATTAATTTTCATAATAACGAAAAAAAGTGTTTATTTGTCTACAATTATTTTTGATGAATTTTAATGTAATATTTATTAGTTCATTGATGACAATCATGATATATTACGATATTATGTATTGTATATCTAATTAAAATAAAAGTTAATTTGGAAATATTTTATATGCATTGACAAATACACATTGTTTTGTGAACATTACTATTCGTATTTGGTACTGTTTATTTAGATGTTATCAGTGCTTAAATTGGAAAAATACATGAAGAGGGACTATAAAACTTAAACAAAATTAGTATTCCTTAACATTTTTGAACTTAATCTAACTCATAGGGGACTATGTCCCCCATATTAATCTTTAAACATAATCCAGTAATTAATAATTTCCAAAAACAAATTTTAATTTTTTCTGTGGACAACTTCTCTATCAGTAATTTTGCTCCAATTTAAAATAATAGCAGTTTTTCTGAAAGGAAATCTGACTAGGGAGGTACTAAGGAGGCCATTTTTTGATTTTCCCATCAGTTTTCATAATAATTGGGAAAAACCCAAAAAAAAGTAAAAATAAAAAGTAATTTTGCTAAAATAATGCTTTTATTATTTAGAATTTTGTTTTTTCGTTGTAATTTAAGTTGAAATATTCGTATAGACTTAAAATGTAGACAGAAAATTTATATTTACTTTTTCTAGACGGGGTAAAATTTTCAAAACTTTTAAGCTAATATTTTTAAATATTTAATTTATATTTTATAACAAACCAACTGCAGCCACAGCAATCTTAAGTCCATGAGCCACAGCTGGGCACTGCCAATGGCAGAATCTACGCCTGCAGTGAACTATATATTATCATACAGTGATTATCATTTATTATAACTATTTATATTTTATCATAAATTAAATAACTTTACGTATCCCAATTTCCCCAAAACGCATCTACAAAAGTGACTGAACTCGTTCTCAATATTAGCTCTTTTTTTTAAAAATTAAAATTAATGGGAAAAAAATGTCGATTTAATGTAGTAAATTGTAAATTTAAACGCTTATTATAAATTTCAAATTTTGTTAAAAATGCAAAATATCTGAATATACCGTTCCACCGGTCACAGAATCTAAAGTTTTTCAAGAGAGGGTACCGCTACAAAACAATTCTAGAATATATGAATTATGTAAAAAACACTGTCCAAGGGAAGATATCGCTTACTGTGTTATTGAATAAATACATTGTTTGACTTGCGATTTCAATATTTTAAGGCACGTTCTAAATACCTAAAAGTTAAATGTAAGTAGCAGGTGGTAATAGTAATTCATATGCGTGCCATTTGGTTTGTTTTTGGTGTGTAGTTTCATGTACACTTCGTTTGGAGAAAAGTGAATGGCAAAAATTGAAAAAAAAGTCACGGTTTTCAAACAAAACGCAAGTGGAATCTTATATTACTGTGCATTCGTTTTCGTATTCTTGAGATAGCGTAATATTTATGATTGAACAAATTTTATTTATCACGATGTTATTAATAAATTGTAATTTGTAGCTAATAATAATATATAAGCATTAAATAAATAGGTTGCATGCCTTAATAACAGTTTTCATCGCAGGGGACATACATTTATTGAAAATTAAAGACACCGTACTTGGTTAAATAAAAATAAAATATTCGTGGAATTTAAATTAAACTGCAGTCAGTGGCGTCACTTCAGTTTTACAATGATAGCACTTTTTCTATAAGGAAATCTCACTGGGGTGGTACTTTAGGGAGGCCATTTTTGATTTTCCCAGCAAATGTAAAAACCAGAAAAAACGGAAAAATCGGTACAATTTTAAACAAATAAATTATTAAAGAAAATATCTAATGCCTAATTAATGATTTTACCATAATGCGATATTTACGTATATATTGTCGAAAAAACAGCACTATTAACAGATCTCCGCTCAGAATCGTTTTTCGTAAGCAATAATGGTTAATCGTTAAATACTTAAAATACTTTAAATTTTTTCTCTACCTTCCCAACTTCTCATCTATAACAGTGCTCCATCTACGTGCAAAGTATATCCATCTTTTGCTTAATTGAGTTTAGATAATCCATACATTTGCCCAGTCAGTCTTAGTGTATGTCCTAACCAATGACGTCATTTGGACCGCCCAATGTATACATTTACGTATTTAAAATCCAATATTAAAGTAATTTAGCCAGATTTACGCATTAGTGGTCAAAATATTTATTTTTAAATTTGAATTAAAAATAAAAACATATTAAGGATGTTATAGCTTGCATCATCATATGTGTGTTAAAAAAAAAAAATTGAAATAACGTCATTGGTTATATCATAAAAAAAAATCTCATTTTACGGATTGGTAATGTACATTATGCTATTAAAAAATGAATTAATTTTCGCAACGTAGTGTTTTAATTATACTCTATAAATGTTATAGGTTTTCCAATTAAAAACATTATGAAATCAGCTATAACTAATATGAATAATTATTCTACGATAACAGATAACAACAATATAAGTATCGGGGAATTAAAACACGAAAAAAACAAAATTAATACCGTGCACAGAGACAAAAAGAGGCAAACCAAACTATTATGAAATTAGTATATTATACTAAGACTATGATATAGAGGTAATTTTAATGAGTAAAAATTAGTAAATTTTTAAATAAACTCATATTATAATTACATTTACATGTACATTTAAAAATAAAAAGTATACTTCTTTAGTTACATATTTTGAATGAAGGTAGATTAATAGTTGTGATATTTGTCACATAAATACTTACCATGTTTTGAAAATTAATTAATTCATTCGAAAAAAAAAATTAATAACAGTTGCAGTAGTAACATGTTGCGTGTTCGAATTATTGCCAAATAGTTCGAAATATCGTGGGGTGGAAAAAAAAAAAAACAACTCGAATTCAATACCGATAGAGTGCTTTTGAGTAGAAGGAACTTTGAAAACTTGAATCCCCGCGTGTGTAGAATGTAAATACACCACTAAACGCGTTGCTTTTATTTATACAAGTTTCGAACTCGTTGTCCGAGAACGGGTTTTTCGAAGGGTTTAATAATAATCATTATTGTACAGAACCAATAATATAGCATTCAGCGAACGAGCGTTTGTTTTCCTCAATGAAAAAAATAAAATAAATGAATCACTCGATCTGTGTACGAATCGCGGAATAGAATTTTTAAATCGCCGAGTGCTAAACGCGAAAATTCATCATGGCGCCCAATTTTAGATTTTGAGCGGATGGGGAGAAATGTATGGATAATTAGATCGATACTGCAATACGATGTTCCTTTAAAGTCGTGTATTAAGTAAATTTTTAATTTACGAAAACCTGGAATTTACTTTAAAGTACAACCGTAATAGGAATAATTATGGTGCAAAAATGATTTTTCATTCCGCAAACCGGTGAAGGTTAAGCGTGATTAAAAAAATTCGGAATGGACTGAAACTCAAGGTCCGTTATAATACTCCCGTACAACTCTATACCAAATTCCAATTTTTCGTGTAAAAAATAACGTGCATTTTACCACCAAATAACCTGTTTCAGAAATATCGGTTACTGCGGCAGAAGTTTAGCAAGTCTGCTAGACTGCTCTGAAAACCGCAAAACTGTATCAATAATTATGAAATTTATATGCTTCATAGGTCCTATCGTATTTAAATATCCCATTAGATTCGAGAGTCCACATTGAAAATGACAAAATATAACTTTATTTTGTTTGACGATTTGAATACGTAGTAACACAACCAAACATACAGGATTCTTATTCTAAAATCTAAACCTCGTAATAGGTGCTCACAGATATTGAACATGAATTCATGGTGGTGCTAATGTCAACAAAACGATCCGTATGACACAATTGAATGCTCTTTTTTAAATTTTATAATTCAACCTCTGATATATTTTGACAACAATCGTGAACGATTCGAATTTCGAAAAAGAAAATTTACTGCTAACCGTTGCCAACCGGGCCATCAGCAGTTGTCCAAAATTGATAAGGATCCGTGAAATGATAAGATATTATTACAGTAGACTATAATATTATGATTATTACATCTAATCTGTTTTATTAAGATTATAGTGCCGGCAAAATAATCATTCTATGTTTGTTGTAAATCGTGTTCATCTTTCTCCATATTGGCTAATATCCGTTTTTTGGGGCCATCGTCGGTTTGAGCGTTTCGTTAAACCTTGTGTGAATCTTCATGTACCCTGAAACAGTACGTTAATTATTAATTATCATACTTCTCGACATATTTATAGTTAATAAGTAGTCGTAGTGTGCGTTTTGTCGGGATTTGCGCCTTTCTCGTTTCTAGTTGATGAGAATTTGTTCTTCAAACGTAAGTATCTACGATTTTTATTTTATTGACCTGACGTTAGTCTCACCATGAAAAAATATTTTGTCACGAGTCACTAATGTCTCTTCAACCGTATTGTAATTATCGGTATTTCTATCCTATTAAAATTTTGTTTTTTTATAATTTGTACTGTTTATAGGGAAACACCTATATATGAATAAATTGTACACAAATTAAAAAAAAAAAGTAATGTAAATTGTAAGAAAATTATGAATTTTCTATTATTAATTACTGAAATAGACAAGTAACATTTGTATTACTTACCTACTAATATGGTTTTAGTGGCATCAATTATCAAATGTAAGAGCTATGCAAACATTTGTAATAAATGAAATGATAGGGGAGGGGGAAGTAGAATATAGAATGATTAAATATATAACTCCGTTGACTTCCTAGATCATTTAATACTTTTTATGATAATAGCAAATAAATATAATAGATAAACTTACCTATCCTGGATGGAATTTCTTTAGCAACAGTATTTCCATAGTAGCGATGTTGAAGCATAGCATGATTAAAATTACGGCAATTTATTGATGCAGAGAAAACACACCAGGAAAAAGAGCAACATACGTCTCAACACGAGGAAGTGCCCTGGGCTGGGTGATTAGACTGGGAAGTATATAAGGAAAATAAATGGGAGAGTGTGTGTTGTCATCTATCAATATGATAAAGACATTAAATATTAATTATCAAATATAACTTGATTTAATAACTAGCTAATAAAATTAATAGTCTTATATAGTAAAAATGTCTACTGTTATAACATTATAATATTAAATCAGTAATATAATATTGTAATCTAATATAACTAACTAATACCTACTAAAATTATGATATACACAACAGTGTTTATATCATTACACATTTACCCTATATCTAGTGGTATTATATATCATGACAAACTTTGTTTTAACTATTTGAGAGTGTATCCATGAAATCATCAAACAAAATTTTGAGAGTATACGGTGTATATGTAGTGTACCCTATAAGAACATCACTGATTATGATGAAATTTCAATACTAATTACATTATTTATTACATTTTTGTTAGTTTTATTGAATTTAAAAGATAATATTAAAAAAAATTAGGTAGGCATGCAGGTAACAAAACATAATATATCTTAAGGTTAATAAAACCTAATAAATAAAGAAATAAAATTATTTCTCTTCAAATTTTTTTTTATTTTTTTTTTAATAGGTATTCCTTTAATATTTTAATTTTTAAATGCTACATCTGAGATATGTTATTGGTTGATATGAGTGTGAGTTATGTTATTCTAATATGATTATATCTTTCAGTAAGTATGTTAAATATTCATCTTTAGATACCTGGGTACATTTTGATAATTTAATTATTTTTAGAAAAAATGTTAGAAGGCCTACTATATTAATTAAGAAATTATATTAATATATTATTACTTTGTTAATATACAAAGTACGTGTAAAATGAATATTGTTGGTCAAGTGCTGACATTTCAACCATGGATTAATAACATAATATCTGTGGTGTGGTGGCAGACGTTGATATGTTTAAAAACAATATTATTTTAGTCTTTTATTGTTCATAGATAGTATCTATGTTCTATGTTGGTTGATTATAAAATATGCTCATGGAATTTGATATAAAATCTTATCATTGTTAACTATTTTAAATTTGTATCTGAAATGGGCATCATTAATTTTTAAAATAAATCTTAAAACAAAATTAGTACATTCTGTATACATAATATTATTTTTAAGTGTTTGAGTATTTTAAATAAAAAAAATGTATGATATTATTGAATACATCATATACTAGAAATATGATATTAAAAGAACTAGTAAACCTTGTAGTAAAATTGGTTGTTTAATCTGATATTTTGTAATAATTTAGTTGTGTATTTAAAAAAAAAAAATCTGCACTGCTTTTTAGATTGTGCTGTATTAAAAATCTTTGCGACATTTTTAAACTTGTTTCCATTTTTCCAAATTGGTCTAAATATTAGGTTTTTTATACATAATATTTTTTATTACAAAACAAAAGATATAGATATAAAATATAATAGGGCATTTGATTTGCAGTTTCATATTTTCTAATTTCTAATAATAATTGAGTAGCCAGATGATACCTATGGTTAACCTGTCCTGAAACTACCTTGGTATTTCCCAATTATTTGTTTAGATTTTTCCTTTGTCCTAAATAATATGCGGGTCAAAAATGTTTTTATCACATTAATAGAGCTATCCCCTGATAATTATTGCAGTTTTGTCTATTTTTTTTTTTCGTGTATTGGGTATAGAGGTATGTCACCTCTGTACTCCAGTCTTCGGGTATTTTCTCAATTGTCTAATCCTCTCGAATAAGTTTCTATACCCATATAGCCATTTCTACCTCTTTATTCTTTAGGAGTTCCGATTGAATCTTATCTTTGATTAAAATCTTATCTATTTAGTCTTTTAATTTTTAAATATATATATATAATATTGAATTCATATTTTTAAGTATTAGAATTGAAAAAGAGAAAGAAAGTTATAATGAATGTGTAAGTATATTTTTTTAAAAAAAGTATTTGTATGTATAACACGGTTAAACTTTATGGTAACAGTTGAAATTTTATGTTTAACTCATTGAAAATTAAAATTTGTGAAGCACTTTGGTGTTTATGTAGTATACGACATTCACATGTTATTCATATTCATGAGTACAATAACAGTCATATCACTGTATAATCAAAAAATTGTTCTGGTATGTTTAGTGCTGCTTGCATGTATTTAGTATGTTGACCGGGGTGAAAGAATTGTAATATATTTTTCAAATTTGTAAACCGAGACAATGTAATTTAAAAAAAAAAAAATGTTTATTTCTTTGTAAATTTTTTTTTTATGAGTTTTAATGCACTATTTAACTGTTTATTCGGATGTTATTTTAATCCATCGCATATCTAATTAAAATATTAAAATACAATTTTATTTTGAAATATTTTCTATATGCGTCGACAGTACGACAATTTGACGTTAGTAGAATATCGCGTGCGCTTACTTTATAACTGAATAATACATTTTTTGACTTGTGATTTCAATTTATCAGAGCACGTTCTAAATGCTTAACAGTACCTATTTTTTTTCCGGTCACGTGAACCTAAAAAAGAAATGCAAGTAGTAGTTGTAGTAGTAGTACTAGTAGTAGTAGTAGTAGTCTTTATCGTGCGCGTACTTGGTTTGTTCTTGTCGTGTAGTTCGGCGTGTACGGCGTTTGGAGAAGGACGAAACGAATTATTAGTCATGATTATCGGAACCTTGTTGACTTGGTTTATTTCGTTGTTTATGTAAGTAAAACAATATTATTGATATTAACTGTTTTAGATTCTGAATGGAGCGAAGAAGCTTATGGTTTTAGAAAGATGTTTTTTGTTTTTTTTATCTGTGTACAACTTTTCTACCGGAAGACTTGCTCAGATTTCTAAGTGTAACACTATTTTTAAAAGGTTACCGGCGTGGGGAAGTACTTTAAAGAGGTCGTTTTTCGATTTTCTCAAGAGTTTTCCCAGCAAATGTGAAAAACCGAGATAAATCAGGAAAATCGGGAAAAACGTAGGAAAACTGGGTACAATATTAAACATATTTTATTCAAGAAAATATAATCAGTCTATTTAATTATTTTACTATAAAATTACATATATATTTTGACAAAGCATCACTATCAACTGATCTCCGCTCAGAATCGTTTTTCGTGAACAATGGTTAATCGTTGATTACAGATATACATTAAATTCCCGTCTATATCCTACTTTTTCAATTTTTCACCTACATCAGTGGCTGCACCCGTCCCCATTTTCTTACTATTTTTCTTTGTTTGGGCATGCCGGTTAAATATTTTCAACGGAAACAGTCGATATTAAAGATTTTTGGAGAACAAACGTTCGTGTTTCAGAACACGTCACGCTATTGTTTACTTGGTATTTTGTGCACATCTGTTCGATTTTTATATTCCACGACCGTTGTCCCGGTTTTCTCTATATTTACGTGTCTCCGCCGTTTTTCAGCAGTTTTATTTTTCTGATAAAATACCTATCGTTCTAACAAAATATTTTCGTACTTTATACGTGTTCCCATTGAAACTAGACAATTTCGATTTTTTTTATTTGGGCGGGTGATAAATTTAAATTTTGTAATCAATGATCAATGAGGTATCTAACTATTACACGAAAATTTACTTTTGAGAAAAAAATCACGGGATTGTTTTTCTAAATTGTTCAGTACAATAGTAAACCAAAAGAACCGGCAGAATAATAAAAATATTTTAATAAGCATTTAAACAAAACTCACGGTCATTCTCTGAAAATAACAATAGAAAAACGTCATCGCAATGTGTGCGTTCTTATTGTAACTGTTTATAGTTTTAATCAGATTTTTTCTTTTTCGTAAAACATTATTATTATTAAAAACGCTCCGGTTTTTTCCAACCAAAAAGATAAATTCGGATTTGTTATCTTTTATCTTCATCTAGGCAAATTAACATGAATTATCTTTTCTTTTGTATTTAAATTGAGATGTCTGGCAGTGTTTTTCGCGTCAAACCTTACGGGTCGGTAATGTACATTATTCTAGAACAGTGCTCGGCATTCGGCCTGCGCGTCTATTTTATGTTGCCGGCTTGACGAAATTTAATTTCATATTATACAACAACATATATTACTGCACATTCTATTTAATTAGCAATAATATAACGATATATGTGTAATGTAGTGTCTTTAATTTTGTTTATATTTTTATATTATCAATAAGATAAATTAAGTGGATATTTATACGCTCTAAACCTAATCATAATTTATAGTTTTAATGTCTCTCAGTTTGTTCAGTAACGTCGAGTTCTTTGTAAGTGTAAATTAAGTTATAGTTATTGTAAAATTATAAGTATAGTAATTGGTTTTTTTGAGTGAATTTAAGAAATTAATGTTAGCAATAAAAGAAAAATTGATTCAGAATGTCGTGTATTTCAAAATAAATGGACCAATCAATATTTTGTTATCCGACATAAAGAAAAAGTCACATGTCTTGTTTGTCTTAAATTCATTGCTGTTATTATGATTCCAAACATAAAGTTAAATATGTTTTATATGGGCAGCTCAGGGATATCGAAGTTAAAAATTTACAGAAATCTCTGACTTGAGAACAAACAATTTTCTGTTCAAAATAAATCTATAATTTCTACTGGCCAAAAAAATATTGGATTACAGGTTATCATTGCCGATGAAATGAAACTAAAAGAATTGCCACCACCGTTATTTTTTCATTGCATTTTTCATAAACATGCATTATGTGCCAAAATTACATCATGGGATTCAATAATGAAAGATGTAGTGTTAATTGTAAATTTCATACGAAGCAATGGTTTGAATCACCGACAATTTCAAAATTTTTTGGTTGAAGTAAATGCAGAATATGGCAATGTATTGTACTCCGCAGTTAGATGGTTAAGCAGAGGTCATGTATTTGAGCGGTTCTTGATGTCACGTCAGGAAATATACGATTTTTCGGAAGAAAATGGAAAAGACGCTTCCATGATCAATAATCAAAACTTGGATTTTTGAATTAGCATTTTTCGTTGATATATTGAAGTATATAAATGAACTTAACATAAAACTACAAGGTAAAAATCAATTTATTCTCGATATGTGATCTCATATTAAATCGTTTGAAACCAAATTAAAACTTTAACGGTCTCATATTAAAAAAAATGAATTAACACATTTTCCAGAATGTAAAAGTCTGTTTGAATCTTTGAAATTTTCATTTTCGACAGTTAAGTTTGTTGAAGCTATTTCAACACTTAATTATGAATTTAATAATCGCTTTCAAGATTTTAAAAAATGTTCACAATATTTAAAATTATTCTCAAATACATTTAATATATATATGAAGTTCCTGTTGATCTTCAAATGAAAATGATAGATTTACAATCACAAGATACTCTTACAAATTCATTCAAACTTTCACCTTCACTGTTTTTTGCTGAACTCCTTTCAGAATTTGCAAAAATAAAAATGATAGCTGCAAAATACTTAAAAATGTTTAGATCAACGTAGGTATGTGAACAGGCCTTTTCACACTTGAAAAAAAAAAATTAAAAATCCGCTCCGGTTACGATTAACTGATGACCAGCTCCATCATTTCATTAGAGCTGGCACATGTAATTTTGATGTGGAAATTGAAAAAATCGTGAGCGAAATCCAATAGTAAAAATCGCATTAAATATTTTTCCATACAGTTATAATTTCCACACTATTAAAAAACATCATTTTATTTTATTCAATATTAAAATTGTATTCCTAAAAATTTCAAATAAAATAAATATAGCAGTATTTCTTTTTCATAATAATTAAAAAAATTAAGGTATGAAATTTTTATTTTTATGTGGCCACCGAAACTTTTTACATTTGTGAATGTGACCCGGGACTCCAAAAAGGATGCCGATCACTGTTTTAGAAGAATAAATACATTTTCGAAACGTTGTGTTACGATAATACTATACAGATGTTACAACCCAATTAAAAACGTCGTGCTACTGCAGTTATATAATTATAATTAATACTAATTACGTCTCGATGATAATATCTCATAATTATCGGCGAATTAAAACAATTTTCGTTTAATACATACATTCGTGTATAAACATTTTCCTGATTTATTAATTTATTGCATAAATTATTCATACCGCTCTATAATGTATTATACAAGGTTATTCATTTAACGTAAACGCTTATTTTTCGCAAAGTAGGTGTTCGTTTTTCGAAAAAAAAAGATTTGACAATTCAAGAAAGAAGCAGTTCTGGAGTATTAAATTATTTTTCTTTCAGCTTTACAGTCCATTGATGGCTGCAAAACAAACACTTTTCCGTTGCTCATTGTCCTGAGCTACTTCGTTAAAATTGTCTATTCCTATTTGGGGGGGGGGTCCATTTTGGTGTATTGTGTACAATTTATTTAGCCTTTATTTCCAAATAACTACAGTACTTCTAGGTTAGGTCTAACTTGAAATGTTACATTACCGTTGTTTTATGTCACCCTTATATTTGGAGGTGAGCTTTCTACCTACTTTTGATTTTCGGACGGCAACCTAATAATACAAATAGATAGAGTATTAGTTTAAATAAATTTCGATGCGGAAATTTTTAATTTCCGGTTTGCGAGATACTCTAATTTTAAATTTAGGTACGAATACATTAATTTATAATTTATTATTATCGTTCGAAATCAGATAATTATTGTTTTAAATTGATTATAGACGAAATAATTAACAATTATATTATTATTTTAAAGGTCGTTTTCAAAATCGTTCTGCGTTCTTGCCTTCTTGGATGATATCTGCAGCTATATTACAATAATATTATAACCTGTAAAACTACTTCCAATATCGAGCGTGTCATGGTATTCCACAATAATACCGTTGATTGCGGCAGATATTATGCCCTTTTATAATATATCAGATTATTCGTAGAATCTATAACGAACCGATATGTGGCGATAATCTGTCACGTCTGCGTTTATTTTTTTTTTTAAAGATTAAAGATTTTTGAGAACAAACGTTCCTGTTTCAGAACACGTCACGCTATTGTTTACTTGGTATTTTGTGCACATCTGTTCGATTTTTATATTCCACGACCGTTGTCCCGGTTTTCTCTATATTTACGTGTCTCCGCCGTTTTTCAGCAGTTTTATTTTTCTGATAAAATACCTATCGTTCTAACAAAATATTTTCGTACTTTATAGGTGTTCCCATTGAAACTAGACAATTTCGATTTTTTTTATTTGGGCGGGTGATAAATTTAAATTTTGTAATCAATGATCAATGAGGTATCTAACTATTACACGGAAATTTACTTTTGTTAAATTTATTCTTTACTTCTAGTTCGTTTTAACTTTGTATTCGAATTTAATTTTTTTTATTAGTTTTTTGTGTAGTTTGAATTACATTGAACTTAAATTTCTGGCAATATAACAAACATTACTTTATTTTTTCTTGACAACTTGGGTTTGGAAGGGCTGCGGAATTATTATACGAAATCATCTATAATTTTAAAATGTAGAAATATTTTGTATATTGAATATTGTAATTTTCTCCCTACCTCCTCCATTATAAGTACAGATTCAAATAGGCTAAACAAAGAATATCATTCTAATAATTTCCAATACTATATAAAAATTAGTGGTATCCATACCATCAATATGAATGATAACAATATTATTGTATGTTATAGTAATTGTCCCGCCCACCGTTACCCGTGACAAAAGAATTCTAAGAACTAATTAATCAGTTTCTATAAAAAATATTGTTCTTTAATCGTTTTGCGTATCATCTCTATAACCATTACTATTACACCAATTTATTTTTTATTGTGTTTGTTTTAACTTTTTTAAATTTTTATTTCATCGGCATCACTAAGATGTAAATCATAAATCATCAAAAATATCAATTTACCCCGTGTGAGGCCTATCTTAGGGGAGATTCTCAATGTATTATATATACAGGGTGATTGACTAAGGGTGCTCGCCCCATTTTTTTGGTTACATTTTGTATACCTATATTCAAATTCTTATTTTCACCATTTTTAAATGTAGTTAAAGATGATATTCTTAAATACATGTTTTAATACACCTAAGAAGTATCATGTGAAGATATCAACATTGGTTTTTAAAATGAGAATCAATATTGAAAATTCCATAAAGAGATTGATTATTACTTTAAATAAATGTTGGTATTAACATGTTTGATTTCTGTTTATCCATTAACGAGATATTCCACTTAATAGTTTAGGGGGAAGAGTAGTGGAGTATCATTTGTGTGGCGTTTTATTTTTGAAAAAACAAAGTTAGTATCGCCACATGATATTCCCTAAATTTTGTGATAAATCTATTCGAAAATGTTGGCTTTAACTAGATTAAAAAATTCTAAAAAATCAAAATTTGAATATATGCAAATTATAAGAAAATAATAAGGTGAGCACGCTAAGTGAATCTCCTGTATAGAAACCTAAGAAACCCTAAGAAATGTTCTAAATTAGTGCTTCTCAATCTTTTTAGGACTGCGACCCAAATTTTCCCCCAAAACCTTATCGCGACCCACATTTCAGAAAGTAGTTTATGCAAACAGCAGGAAAAATCTTAAAATTACCTTCTCAGAGTACCACCCCACTCAGGTTTTCTTTCAGAATTCTGTTTTGAATTATGTTTTTAGAATTCTTGAAACATAAATTCTTTGGAATCTCAATAGGTAATACAAAACAATTTTCTTGACTTATCAAAAATTGATTCGGGGCTCACCAGTGGGTCGTCGTGACCCACAGTTTGAGATTTGCTGTTCTAAATGATAGTGAAAACCGTATCAAAATCCGTTGTGTAGCTTAGAAAAACTAAGCGCACAGACTGACAAAAATAGCGACTTTATTTTATACTATATAAATAGATTATATTTATAATATTAGTGATAAGTTTAAAACAGTTTACAATTTTGAATGTATATGTGTAGGAAGTGAATGGTTATCAATATTATTATCTATACAAACTAAGTGAAAACTAATGAAGTTTTTTATTTAAAAATCCACCGAGAAAATCGCTGGATCACGACAGAAAAATGTTCACCCTGTAAATAGAAACATTGCATAGGTGGATATCATGTTAATTTTCACTTTTCTGATTATCCGATTATTGTTAGGCCCAGTCTGTGTCTCGTATACGGAATCGAATATCAAGAGGTTATTGTTCGTGTGGTGTTTGATCGTTCTATTTGTTTTTTTTTGTCGATTGATTTCGACGGAATCAAAATAGTATAATCTTGAATTTGTTTTTCTACAGACTTTTCGGTAAAAACGGTTACAACGCTATAAAATATATTTTGCTTATGGAAATATTTAATTATTTCATAATTTCACTGATATCGTCCCATTTATCCTCCTCTAACGCCGGCACTGCCCGTACCTGTCTATTACGGACACCTGTTTGTAACGGACATTTTTTATGGTCTCGTAACTGTCTGTTATGTCACGGGCAAAGAAAGAAGTCGGGAATTGTGTACAGTATTGTCCAGTTCAAATGTTATTAACTGTACTTTAATGTTTTTCGATAAATACATCGTGAATTGGCTCCGGCTAAAGTTGATGTAGTCTACCCTATTTTGTTCCAATTGCATTCGATATAAATGTGCCCACTTGATTTCGGGCATTGTGCACATTGGCTGGGGAACTCTGGTACAATGCCCGGTCAATGTAGGTATCATTGGAGTGTTAAAAAAATTGCCCAAATTGTGCACTGTGCACAATGCCCGGATTTCCTACTTTGGGAGCTTGCCCGTTTCCGTCAAAATTTAAAAAAAATGTTTGATTCTAGTTTCCGCCAATATACCATACCTGCTATTGTAAAATTGTTATACTTACATATTACATTTGTAGAGAAAATTTCTCATTTTTATGTTATGACAAAGTTATATCAAAAAGCTATATTTTCTTAATATATATATAATATTTTGTCTGTTTATTCAATTTAGCCCCTACAATTGTAAAATTAATGCTGTTCTAAAATAATAATGATACCAAACCTGTTTCATACCATAAACTAAAATAAATGATAAGATTAAAAACATAAGATAAAAGTTTCATTTCTCATGGGTAGTCTATAATTATAAAGTTATATACTCACGATGAATGGCTTAAACGTTTTAGTATTAGCCGTTGTCGGGGTATTTGTCGTTTAATAACTAAATCGTGGAATTTATTAAAAGTAAAAACTATTTTTTTATATGCACATTAAACAGACCAAATATTATATTGTATTGTGTAAAAGTGACTTTTTGATAATACTTTGTAATGTAAGTATAATAACTTTAGCAGGTATTTTCGCGGAAACGGTATATCCCCCCCACATTGCCCGTAACTTATACAGGTTTCACTGTAATAACAATGGTAATGATTTCGACATTGCGAGTAGCTGTAAATGGTGAACGCATTCCAAACATTTACTTGTATGCGCAATAAAATACGTGCTACTACGTTTACGATACGGTAATAGGAGATTGAAATAATCTATAAAATCATTTCGCTGAATTAGTATTGGGGGGCTAATTTACATATTGGAGGGGTTAATACCCCCCGACCCCACAGACCTACATCTAAGTCCGCATATGTGGGCTATCGTCATTTGTCGTATATAGCAGGTTGTTTTTTTTTTTGAAAAATTGTTCACACAACGTAGGTAAAACTCGAAAATTCTTCGTATTCCATAAAGTGTACTGTGCGTAATAAAATCGTAGCATTTGAACTAATCAAAACAATTTTCGCGAGAAAACTACTATAGGTAAATTTAAATGCCTTTCAACATTCACCGGCGTTCATTGCCGTCCAATCGAAATGATAATATTATATACATTCTAAAACTCAACAGATTAATAATATTTTATTAGTAATGTAAAAAAATTATGCAAATATCTAGTCAATTTATTTAATGTTGTATATGTAACCTGATGATGTCTCATAGCCGAAACAAGTACCTAATTATCTATCAAATAAATCTATTCCGAGAGTATAATTGTTGGTAATCATGGTAAGATTTGCATAATAATAATTTTTTAACGCTATCGTCAACGTGTATACAATTATTATTTACCTGATTTAATATTTTATTGTGGATTTCGTTCTGAAATTCCACGTCGTCAATTAAATATTCTGCGGATCCAGCGTTCAATTGACCCAATTCAATTGAATTCACCTAACCATGATGTGATACTCGTATCTATTTCCTATTCTCGTTCTTATTTTCCGCGATTTGAATTTATGCCAGTTTCAATGACCATTATATGATCGTATATTCCGTTATCCAGCACACAAATTGTATTCGAAATAATATTCGGCAACATTGTAACGACTGATATCCACCTCTCCGGGTTTCACCTGGATACTCCGGTTTTTAAATCTACCGGATACGGGTCTAATAAAAAGGTAACGAATTATGGTGAATTATTCTTTGGGTCGTCGTAAAATTTGTATTATACGGGTAATATTTTCAATACTTACAGGTAACGATTTTTGTCGGACGCGTCTACTTTGATTGGAAATGTATGGTCTGATGGAAGTGGAAATAGTGAAATCGGGACTCTGTGTGAAATCAAATTGAAATATGAACTATGGAGAATTTTCGCATTTTTTTGAAAAATGTCTTACAATAACAAATATCGAAATAATCAACGAAAAATATGAAACGCGGTTTCAAATTTAAATAAATAATAATAAAAAAAATTATATTGATTTAATAATGAAATATCTGATTATAATAATATATTTTGTTAGCGGCTTGTACACCACCTATCTTTTTATCTCATAATATATTCACTTAAATATAAATTACGTATTACCGAACTGCGTTCGCGAATCGTCAAGCAACGGTTTATCGTTGCTTACCGATGTAAATGAAAAAACCTTATGTATCCTATCTTGCCAACTTCTCGTCCGAAACGGTGGCCGCTCCCGTCCCCGGTAACGGCTCCGATTCGTTATCTGTTTGTAACAAACGACGGGAGCAGGGCTGTAATAACGTTAACGCAGAGCCGCCACTTATCAAACGTGTTTTTCATCATTGCGATAGTTTTTCCCGTTGTCCAAAAGCCGGAGTTCGGCCGAGTTGTGCGGAATGCGTTCCTCTCATTTCAAACTTTGAACGACCAATCACCGAACACAAAAGTCGGTGCAACCGATCTCGTTGTTTTTCAAAAGTTCGTGGTTTCGGGTTTGCCACTCTTCGGATTCGCGTGTATTAGGTTATACACGTCGCTCTCGTATCAAAGCGCCCGCGGTGTAGACGCGCCTTTACGATGCACGCGCGACGCGTCGCGCTCCCCCGCACCGTAGCTCGCCAGACGGTTTTCCCGCCCTCCTCCCCCCGTCATCAGTATTAATTATGGACGGACGGACGGACGGACGCACGCTCGGACGGAGTAGTCGCAGCGCCGTCGTCGTCGTCGTCGTGTCTACGCGGGTTTTTGCCGTCGCGCGTTACTGTCGTTCCCCGCGGGTATCTGCAACGCCGCTCGTCCGTCTCGCGTCGCCCGTTGTTGACCGTTCGCGCGTCCGTTGGAAAAGAAAAACCGTCACGGTGTTTTAAACAAGAAGTGCTGCCGTCGAGACGGTCGGTCGGTGTATACGTGTCCGTCGATATTGTAATCGGTAGGTGTGCGGTCGCCACATTTCAATAACAATTGTTGTAAACCGTCCGTGTTGGTTTCCGTTCGCCGCGCGATCAGTCGACAAACAAAACGCCGCGAACAGTACCGGTCGTTTGTTTGGCGTATTACACCGACAAAAAGGCCGGTTTACCGTTAGGTCTTGGGGGTTCAACCTCCCCTCCCCCCCCCAGAAAATGTATGGTTAATGGTTGGTACGGCACACGCGCGTATTTAGGAATTTATTTATCTAATCTATGCGTTAACCAAAACCCAAAAGCTTTTATCATACACCACCGGTGTCTATACACATAATTAGTCACCTACTTCGTGTTCGTATTTCAGAGCCAGAGAACTATAAATACATTTATGGGACAGTGTATCCGGATATTTTTTTTTTTTTGATGGTGGGGGGAGACTGATCATTTACTTATCGCACGGTGCAATTTGTTTTATACAGATCTTTTAATTAGATTTCTGTTTTTTTTTTTTTTTTTTTTTTTATAACCGTTGTGTTATCGGTATAAGCTTTATTAATTAAAACCATTTTTAATATTTTACCCCTACTCCATATACCTTAAATATACATAATGTATATAATATTTTTTTTCAAATAGGAACCCCTCCTTTTCGAACTCAGATTTAAATAAGGATTATTTTTCTAGAAATTTCGATTTGCATGAAACTAATATCAGATTTACAGTTTAAAGTTTAGACTGGAGGGTTTCTATACTATTACAAAAGTATATACTTCTTCAAGGTACGTACATGGAGTAAGGGTTAAAAATTAAAAACGATTTTTATTATGGTGATTATTCGTTTGGATAGAGAGGTCTCCTTGTAATTTAACAACATTTTGGAATGCTGTGTACTTACCTATACGATTCCGAGATGATAATATTTAGACTTGATCCGTTGAGCTGCAAAATAACTTGGCTAAATAATAATAATCTGATCTATACATATTTAAGTTCTTTTACCATGACCCATTGGTATACGACTTTTTTACGATCATTTTTATTTGTTTCAATATCCATTTGCCACGGTTTGTGATATGATTATTTTTAATGATCTTTAAAGCCTATTTATACGGTGGCACTGTGACAGTTCCACTCGACAGTCGCAGTTGTGAACCTGTCGTCGTGTAGAACATTCCACAGTAGTAGACATACCCTGTGGCAATACTGCCGCACTATCAAGTCTTGCTAGATAGTTATCATAGACTGTTATTGTGCTGTTTGTTATCACTTAGCGTTAACTGTAATACAGATAAGTACCATGAATTAATTTGTGACTGATATTTTAAAATTGTTTAATTTTTATCGATTTAATATTCATTCGTTCTTAAAAAATTGTGAAAATTTTTAGGACCGAGTTCATTCATAAGGGTATCGGAAATTCCTAATTCATGTCTCCTTTGTATCAATTTATTTTCGTACCGATTCTCTTTAATGATTTGGATTTTTGTTTTTGTTAGTTGGCCAACAACTAAATATTAAATATAATAATAATAATAATAATAATAATAATAGTAATAATAATTGATAATAGATTATAATAGCTGATAATAACCTATAGCTGCCTCGACAGCATATTAGTTTATATATATATTTTTTAATATTAAAAATAGAGAAAAATGTATAATACAAAAATGTTTCAATTAATAAGCATCTAAAAAAATTAGTAAATCTTTTTAATGAGTTTTTTGGTATCGAAGGGGGGGGGGGGTTGGAGGTCAACTTTTGAAATTCAAATGAAAACCTATACTCAAAATTCCATAAATATAAAGTGTTAGTTTAAATTAATTCTGTTGTTGAAATTTATTTAAACTAACATTCCGTTTATTTATGGAATTTTGAATACATACATATAATATTTATATGTATATATGTATTTTAAAATTTAAAAGTTCACCTCTAATCCCTCCAAAAAAACAGTATAAAAAAATGTACAAATTATTTTAGATCTTTATAAATCGAAAAATATTTGTATTATAAACATTTTTCTCTATTTTGAATATTTACATTATAAAATGGCTGTAACATACATTTTGAATAAATCTGTATATAAATTAGATGAAAATTTATTAATATCTATGAATTTTATTTTATAAATAAAATTATAGCTCCTTATTCAAAAATAATTTCCCTTCTGATAAGGTCAAAATACCTATCTATTTATTTACTATCTGTGGTTTTTAATTCCAGAAAAAAGATGTATTAGCACATAATATTCTTATCAAAACAACAAAAAAAAAAACGTCTTGGAACATTATGTATATTAGTGGTTAGCTAGGTCGTAGATGTGAAAGAGTTCAGGAGCAGTAAATAAATTAGTCACCCCAAAGTTAGAGATCCTACCCTATATTATCTTTTTCAAAATTTGCCTACTTTCTATTGAACTACAACTAAATATATCTAGCAAATAATTATACAAATATGGAGTAAAGAGTCCATAATTGTTATAATTAATTATTCAATTTTAATTATAAGACCAATTAGGTACAATATTATTTACCGATTAGTTATGGTTATTTCGGTTTAAGTTGTTATCTTTCGTTAATACTGTTATTCTATTTCGTTACTTACAAGATTATACACATATGATTCGTTTATCTTACTATGCACTGTACAATTATGTACAATCGGGTCGACATTGTACAATCTTCTTAAGGAAGTAGTTTTATAATCATTGTCCAAGGGCCTCTGATGCATCCTAAACTGTGAGACCTCGGAACGCTGCCCCATTTTAATCTAGGATATAAGGGGCTTACACCACTGATTTTGTTATTCGTGTACTTACCTATGAATGCCGTTATATTATAATTGTCGACTGTGTATTAATATTACTTTATTATATATTCAAACATATATATTGCCCAATATTATTATTGTATGAAGAAAATTAAAAACGTTTCCATTGATATCATTTCTGATGTCGCCCTCGCCATTTCGTGACAATTATTAAATGTTATATAATTGTTACCCGTCAATTATATTTGTTGCGCAGTTCATTGACCCTATGTAATAGTGTTTCAAACATTTATAGAATTCTATTATTCAGTAGCATATACACTTGTGACAATGTCTACTACTTCACTATACTCGGCTGGCAAAAAACCAAACTATTTAATTTAATTTTTTTTTTTTTAGATCTGACGAGATGGTAGAAGTTTTGGCAACCAGTTTTCAAAATATGTACAACAAGTATGCCAGGCTGGAAAACGTGGACAATTTTCCAAAAGATGATAAACGGGAAATATACATAACACCAGTAAACACCCAGCAAGGCACTGTTGAGTATGACGACCCACAAATACAAACCCAATTCCGCAATCGTTTGAAATCCCGTAAGACTTTCTATTTTAACACCAAACAGTTGTGTGAGGTGAAAAGTACGAAATGGGATATTCTGTCTTTAAAGAAACAGCGTCCTCTAGTGGGACAATGTTGTTCAGTTTGCATACCTGTAAGATTTCCACAATTTTTAATATGTAATTACCCAAACATGTTCGTTTTGAATGTTTTATCTGTTTGTTTTACAGTATGCTGTAAGGAAAAACATGAGATTCGAGTCAACATTAAAGAATTTATTAGACATATATAACATTGGTCCTTCTATTAAAACATCGATGTTTGGTAGAAATGTTGATACTCTAATGTTTTTTAATCGGCAGAAAAGCCATCAGTACAAATATATATACAATGAAGTAGGTACACAAAAATAATATTATCATAAGTTCATGACCGTCTATAATTATTGACATAATATTAATATAAGATGTTCTATCCATATAGTTTTAATTTCACATACCAATGAAGAATATTTTTGTGTTATGTGGATTTATTATTAGTGAGGGTTGGGTTTCAATACATAATACATCTTTTTTTTGAGTGATCTTTGACTATGCTTTCCAAGTGTTTATTTGCTTCATGTAACAGAAATTTCAAAGGTGAAACTTTTATTTCGCATTTTAATGTTTTTTTTTNTACATTATACGAACATAGGTTAAATATACTTGATATATTTAATCTATGATACAACTTAATAATTTAGATTTAGCTAATTTAAGACAATACCAATGTTTTTCGAGTTTTCCAGTCAATCAGTAAAATACAGCCTTCAGTTAATACTATCATCAGTATATTTGGTGGTCAGTAATCGCAAGTTAAATTTTTCAATTTTCAATTTTTTTTTTTTTAATCAAATTTAAATCTTTTGGATTCTGAGTGGAATGAAGAAGCATATAGTTTTACTAAGATGTTTTTTTTTTTTTCTGTGGGTAACTCTTTGACAACCAATTTTGCTCTAACTTATGATAGTAATTTTTCTAAAAGGAAATTTTACTGGAGAGTTATTTTAAAAAAGTGACTTTGATTTTCTCCAGGGTTTTCTCAAAAAATGTGAAAAACCAGGAAAAAAAAAGAACACATTTTAATTTTGGAATTGAAATAATTGAAATTATATTATAACATGCCAGATATATGTCGTTGACAAAGCAGTACTATCAGCTGAACTCTACTCAGAATTGGATTTTCGTTAGCAATAGTTTATTGTTGCTTGTGTATTAGTAAAATATAATATAAGCCCTTTTTTGTATTATAGTATATTTTGTTTATCCTTTTAAGCTTTTTAAGCTTTTTAAATGAGCTCATTTGCATAAAAAAATTCCGACCTCTGTCCCAGGATGTATTTTTAAGTGCATTTTTACAGTAGAATGCAATTTTTAAAGGTACTTCTAGGCCTTCTTTAGAGCATTTTTCAATAATGTTTAGTGCATTTAAATCCACGTCCTAATGTTAGGAAAAAATTATTATTTATTAATTAAATTAATAAAAATAAGAATAAAATAAAAACAGTGTCTTTAATAGTGGACAAAACGAGAGAAAATAATCTAGAATGGATTGAGCATGTTATGGTGAGAGGAGTATTCAGACATAGTATTTTTAATGAAAATAAACGTACGAGGAAAGAGAAACAGACAGAGAGAGAAATAGACCAAAAATAGTTGGATGTGATTGAGAATAATATGAGGACAACCGGTGTATGCCAAGTGGGAGATCGGGTCAAGTTAACATTTC